CCATTAATGTCAAAGCTCATCTTAAATTCATAACATACATATACGTTGAAATTGACGATCATAGTTGTTCTAGTCTCAAATTTACAGGAGTCATAACTCTGACATAATCCATGAATTGTATTACCTTGGACTACAGATAATGTCATCTGATAATACCTGGACAGTGCATCTGCAATCAGGATGTCTTTGCCCTTTATATGTTTGATAACAAAATCATACTCTTGAAGGATCAAGCTCAACCGCAATAACCTTTGGTTTTTGGTTTTCATTTTATGAACAAACGGAAAAGGGTTGTGATCACTATACACAATAACAGAGCTAGGTGTAGCATAGAGATAAACTTCGAAATGCTGTATAGCAAGAATAATTGTTAGTGCTTCTTTCTCGATAGTGGAATACTTTCTCTGTTGAGCATTCAATTTCTTTGAAAAATAACAAACTCGATGACATATTTCAAAATCGTCTTCCCGCAACAGCACAGATCCAACTCCAACGTCGCTAGCATCGACTTCCAACATCAATGGTTTAGTGGAGAAGTAAGAGAGGGTTCTGCCTAATTATGAAGTCGGCCGAAGATTCTGGCAACTTCCTAGAAGCCTTATCTTTCCTATCCACGGCTGTCGTAGTCACGCACGAAGGAAAAAATCGGGAAACTCTTCCTCAAGTTTTTTGCGTGATTTACACTACTCGGTCTGTCAGTTACATATGGCTCAGCTACAACTCGTTTACCTGCAACATCGTTGCCTAAAAGAGGTGTAATACCTTCTAATCCTTGAGGTAACGCGGGGGTCAACCCTACGGTCATTGGCCCTGTAACCAAGTCTGACATCAAATTAACTTGATGGAGCGGTACACTGAATACAACACCAGTAATGAGCAAATTTGCTCCTAAGAAAGTCTTCTCAGTCAAAGGCACTGCACCCTTTAGTACCAAGGACTGTGAAGCCCCTGTGTCCCTTAATATGACTACTGGATAGCGTAGCAAATTATCACTAGCATCAAGTGAAATGTAAACCTCACTAGTAAAGGGTAAAAGTCCTCTCTTACTTCAGACAAGGAACCCTGGACTAAATCCTCATTGAGTTGCGAGCCTATGGACCGAGGAACAGAGGTAGTAAAAGCTACTGGCTTAGAGGAACTAGCCTGTGATTTCTTATAACTGAAACAGTTTTCACATGTCCTATTTTCTGCAATAAGAACAAATCAACTTGGACTTATCACTTGCTCCTGAATCCTCCGGTTTAGAGTCGGTAATGGGTTTTGAACTAGCGTCTGCAGACTGTTGATTATCACGGGAAAATTCAAAGTATGGTTGCCTTTCCTGTTTCTTCTTGTTCCTAAATTTCTGTCTGTACGCCTCAGGCACTTGTTTGTATGCTTTGAGAATGGTGGTTTTCACTACTTTATAATCTGAACACTGTTCTACTGGAATTGCAGCATATACTTCGTGAGCTTTACCAGTTAGAACACTGCAGTAACAGAGTGCGCATGTCGTGGGGCAGGTTAAGCCTATCTGCAACTTTTTCGAAGTGAGCAAAGTATTTATCGATTCCTTATTCTGAAAGGGATGAACCAATTTAATGTGCTTACTAGGATCAAAGCTATTAGTCTGACCATAATTTCCAGATTGCGATTGATTCTGCCCGAGTCTAGCTAATTCAACTTCAGCTTTAGCTTTCTGACGTTGTTCTATCTGAATTTGTAATTCCAACTCCTTCAGTTTAATGGCAGCTGCTTCGGATTTACCAGCCTCTACCGACAGTAATTAAACTTGTAAAAGCTCTTCATCTATGAAAAGTTCAACCAATACGTCCCTAAGGTCAGCTTTTTTCATGCTAGAGGCTACCGGAACTTTATAGTACTTAGCAACATCGAACAACTCAGACCTTTTCAAGAGTTAAGTTTGGTCTCTGTATGAGTGGTTTCAAATTCCTTAACAAACTCATCAATGTCAAACTTAGCTAAAACAGATTTATTTTTGTTTTAGTTCATTTCCCAGACATACTGTTTAACTGATATTTACCAAACTAACAGATGATAAAGAACAACAATATATATCAGAGACACATTTGACTCTGATTTCCATAGGCCTATAAATGTTCACAGTCAAAGTGTCAACTCGGTTAAAGATGATGGAGTATGTACATGTATGTATAAAACGATTTTTGGCGTAAAGGTTTAATATGAGCAAAATAAACATGAGCAAAAAATTGTAAAAATACACAACTTCACTTTGACCTCTATACTTTGAAACTTATCAAATGCGAAAAAGCATGTATTTGAAATTATTTCATTTTTGAATTGAAAGTTGTAATTCATCATTCATGGCCATTTTACCTCAGTTATCGCCCAAGAACTACTATGAGGAATTCTGTGTCTTTAGTCGATGGTGACATGGTTATAGTTAAATGATACCAGAGGTATAGCCTAACTGGTCTCTGACGTCAATGCCATGTCAGAAGGTTAAGGTGGACCTTGCAGACAAGGACAAACAAGATTTCACTTATATCGCAAATCAGCACAAAGTGCACTTTTACAATTTTTATCTTATCCACATTTTCTTTAACAACTTTTGCTATGATATCATGCAGGGAAGACATAGTTGATTAAATGCTTGCTTATTGCTGTGCATGTAAACAACAATAAATCAGCAAAGAAGAGAAAAATTAGTCCAGAAAAATGATGCAAACATGCAGAACCTTTTGTGTACAAACCATGAAGTTTAGGCTTCCTTCCTGGGATCGAATCACAGCTTTGCTCATGAATGTGAAAGTAGTCATTGGAATAAAACCAAAAAAGACAGTAAAATATCGCTAACACAGTCACTAACTCCTGGACTAAATGTTTAGCAAAGTGGTGGTCATTGGCCATCGACACCAACTTAGCCCCTTTGGACGTTTTAAGGGGGAAATGTGAACCTTGAAGAATACTCTTCATAACTGCATTTGATACAATCTTTCACCAGCATTGGTATGCCAGATATCAACCATGCGAAAGGTGTCAAATCTACTTATCTATTTTATCTGCACAACCTTGTCAGTTGCCAGGCCTTAATAAATCGTCAACATTGTGCATTTCAAGTGACGCTTATATTTTTCAATCGATGCCCACCAGTTTTAGTCCGTCTTATTACCGATACATGAAATTCTGAAAGCGCCTGCGGAGTAAGTGATGCATTGCGATATGCATGTTTCCTCAGTCGATCGTTCAGTATCGATGTAGAGTTAATGGGAAGGAAAAGATTGAACTTAGATCCCAGATGCAGCTTGAAACATTTCGGAGCAATGCATTATTTTCTATATCATTAAATACATGTACATGGCTGTTGGAGCTTCTCTGAAAATATATGTGCATTGTGTTTAAAAGAGTTCACAGTTAATCAATAACACAAAGGCGCTGCTCGATACCGAACTAATATTTCTCACGCCGGTATTCCCCTAATTGTGAAATGCTGATGAGAAGTCCGACATGGAAAAACAGGTTTAAACCACTGAATGGGACGGGAAGAAGGTTATGGTTAACGGAAGTCACTGCCTGATCACATGTGGCGCGCGCAGGCGTTCTTGCAGCAGCAGCCGGCTCGCAAAGCTATGAAGGGCGCGCCGGCAAAGTTTAGTCGTCCTGATCAAGGATATAATGGGCTTGCGGACACAATGGGGCGGACATAATGGGCCCGCGGACACAATGGGGCGGACATAATGGGCCTGCGGACACAATGGGGCGGATATAATGGGCTTGCGGACGCAAAGGGGCGGACATAATGGGCCCGCGGACACAATGGCGCGGACATAATGGGCCTGCGNATGGGGCGGACATAATGGGTCTGCGGACACAATGGGGCGGATATAATGGGCTTGCGGACGCAAAGGGGCGGACATAATGGGCCCGCGGACACAATGGAGCGGACATAATGGGCCTGCGGACACAATGGGGCGGACATAATGGGCCTGGGAACACAATGGGGTGGACATAATGGTGCCCCCACTAGTAAAATCCCATAGCTATGCTACGGCCGCATAACTGTCGGACCTATTACCTTCATATGATTAGACTCCATGTGATAATACATGTACTTCTGAGTGACTACCGAATGAAAACTCAACCCTCTTTAAAATTAGTAGGAAAAATACACAGTTTGAAGGAATTCGAAGGAAAGGAGAGTTTCTGCAAACTATGGCTGTTCATAGTAATCATACCAAATGTAGGCAAAATAAGTGTGTGTCCTTCATGTCTACACTAACTGGACTTGACGACGTGACGACGCTACCATAGTCATTGTCCAACCGAATCGATTTCTCATTTAGGGAAGTTCTGGGGATTTCCAGTTCCAGCTGTTGAAATGTTCTTAACCCAACATTTTTCAATAAACAACCCAAGTTAGGGAATACGTGCACTCCCTTGAAGAGGCGGGGCAAGCCACAGCGGCGCAAATTATTATACCTGGCACGAAATGGGACAGAGGGGTACCCCTCCCAATAAGTCCAATCCCTATACATACTCCAGCCTATTCTCACTTAACACATCCCCCTAGATGTCTGAAAAGAATTCCTGAGATACCAGTATACCACACTGACCAACACAAAGGCGGGGGAGGGGTTTCTCTCTGTCACATAGTTTGCTTAATATGCAAATTATGTACCGAATGGGGCACTCGTTGATATGACGGACGCGGAAATTTGAAAAGTGGGAATGCTCCACTATGTGGCACCGGAGGCGATGTTTATGATATAGATATATATTTTACAGCCCTCCAAATCCGTACTTTTAAAGAGCATATTTCTGGCTGTTCCAAATTGTCCCTTCTTAGTGCTACTAAATACATTATGATGGGCGTCACAACTCATGGCATTGCCCGAGGTTCCTTGGAGCCACAATTTCTTGGATTCGCTCTTTGTACTGTGCATTGTTTCCCGAAAATCAAGTTCAGCGTTTGGCCAAAGAAACTTGTGAATTTCCCCCAATGCAACACTACAACATGACTGGAAAAAAGGAGACAGAAAAATAAAACAAGAGTGCAATTTTTTTATTCCAGTTATTGATTAACATTTGATAACATTTAGCACACAGTATTTCAGCGCCACATTAACTGAAAAATAAATAGCACCTACAGCATCGAAACTTTAAACTGGACTAGATAAATCTGGCTGGATTTCAGGAATTGAAAATAATCAGGATCAACACCGACCAACAGAAATATACAATTATGTAGATCAAAATATACAGGCTCCTTTCAAAGGGTAAACCCTTTAACAAAATTTCATTTTGCAATATCCTCTTTCGAACAAATCCTGATATTAGAGTTCTCTGGCCTTGAGCTTAAGACTTTAATTCTTCTTTGCTGATAAGCATCTAGAAGTGGTCACCACGTACTCTTTATAAATTGCATTTTTTTGTTTTCCACTTACAGCAAAGAGGGAGGGTCGAATTCAAGGCACTGCTACAATCTGCTAAGCAGGAAAACATGCTCAGCAAAAAATAAAAATTACAGGCGAAACTGCTACCGGGTGGTTCTCAAGTTATATTTGCTATGTATATCTGCAGAGTTCCTGGCAATTGGACCAGGACTTTGCTCAGGCTACAAAACAACTATTACGCTACAGGGGACAAAATTCTGTTGTGCCCAGTTCCTATGTAATGCGTAAGCATTTGTAAATGAGTATGCTTGACTATATCTCAGCACAACAATGCAATCTGTCACATTGAGTTTTAGACTTCAAGACACTTTACCTTTCCTTCTATCCAATGAAACTACCAAGTAATGTCATTCAAAAGAATTGGAGATATGGATGACTTTAGAACAGTGACTTCTGAAATATTCCACTACAAATATCCATGTCATTGTATTCCATCCTTTGAAGAGTACATGTATATTTCCAAAATTTAGTGAGCGCAATTTTGGTCCTTTCCCGATTTCATCTTCTCGCGGTTGCCTTCAGCAAATTTCTAGGAGTTTTACTCAGTGAAAAGAAAAAAAACTCAATGAGTATTAACAGTGCAAAACAACATTTAGAGAGACCCAGTGCCCTTTGTTTGTTTGTAAATATTTAATAATTGTGATTTGCTCATTTTTTGAATGGCGTATAACTTATTTTGGAATGAAACCCTTGATTCTTAACCACAGCTTTTTGAACTTATTCTCACAAGTTCACAGCCCAACAGAGACACAGTTTTACATCTTTCTATATGGCGAGCATCTTGATCAGCCTCCGGTGCAGCACCTGCGCATTCTGCCGACAGCAGCTCTGCCTCAGGTACGGCAGGAAGAAAGAGAGTGAGCCCTCGCTTGGCAGACACCGGAGAAGCTCCTCGGGAGCCAGGAGGTTACTGGCGTGACCCAGGACCCCTGGAAACAAAAACAGATCCACCAAGATCACCAGTCTGGTGATTGGCTGGTTGACGTTCAAACAAGCTAAGGTCTCACCAGTTTTTGAGTGCTCCGAGGGTCAATAAATATGGCAGGGCTGGGAACAGCACTTAATGCCATGAACGAAAGCTAAAGCTGTGCTAATCAGAAGTTAAACAGCTTTATAAGTCACAAGCTACTTTTACTTAAATGAACAATGGCAGATGCACATCTCACTAGATCTTAGTTTTGTGAAAAATTTGTCATTTGATGGGATGGTCTTACAATTTCATTCACGGCTGAAGTGTGATTCAGCTTAGAGCTTTTTTCATAGTAAGCCAATTTCAAGGTTTAACCAGTATGAAATAGTCCTATTTACTAAGGCTATGTTAAATGACAGAGAAAGTGAGTAAAGGGACAAAAATATGGCAGAGGGCATTTGAAAGCACAAACATTTACAAGAGGACTCAAGATTCTTGACATTTACACCTTTTTTCCTGAAACTTTCTCAATCTTATACCCCTTTTGTAGACAGAACACACAGTCCAGTTGAACATCTTGAACATGGCCTATGAGGTGCAGAGCAAGTTCGCGAACCTCTGGTAGTTTATTGGTCCAAGTTTTTTTTTTGGTGACACTGCATTCCAAGTCACTTAGAGACTGCTGGCTGATTCCACAGGGATGGAAAGGTCATTTTCAGCCAAAGTCAGGCAAGTGAGGTGTGGCCTGTCCTTCACAAGTTGCAATATGCATACCTGTCAAGATCTGCAGGTAGTCGGCTTGCTCAGTGGATGGCACCTCCCTGCTCCCATCTCCGTCCCCCTCGGATGTCAAACTCATCTCCGCCCCTCGATCCAAGAGCATCTTCAGCAGCTCCTTCCATCTGCAGCAAATCAGCAGAAAAAAGAATAAAATCTTGAGGTCCCCACAAGTCTAAGGTTCCTGGTTCTGACAGGAACAGAGAAGGAAAAGTCAGGCCAAATGAATTTAAGAGTCAAGAATTACACAGCTGGTAAGATGCCCAGTTCAAAGACAACTGCAGATGCAAGAAATGGTAACAGAGGTACATGAAAATTTTACATTGTAAAAATAGTCAGGTTGTCTTCAAAAGAGTAAAGCCCCAAAGTCATCAAACATAGACCAATCCAAGTCAGATATCTCAAAGCCCTCCTCTTTGTCACATTAGAAGCATAAAGCCAGCTACTGTAATGAATTATCACAAACAGATTCGGCAATAGCTAGAGCAATGCTTCTATCATTAGCAGGGAACTGTCATTCAGTGCCAATATAAGTGTACACAGTCAATATGTGCTTGGGTGCATTTCTTCCCTACTAAGCAGTTGCCATTTACTTTGCGGTGTCCTTGCCAAACGTGTCCTGGGCGTAATCAAGGACCAGCCCAGGATGCTCTTTGATCAGCAGCTCCAGGATGGCCTGGGGATCGAGCACTGACCGACAGACTGTGTCCAGGGACTGCAGGGACTGGCTCAAAGCAGGGGTGGTGGGTGTGACAGCAGCAGGTGTGGCCTCAGAAGGCGTGGCCATTGCCACAGTTGTCTCACTTGGGGAAGGTATGGCTGGAGGGGGTGTGGTCACTTTCAAAGCTTTGATCAGTCCCATGACCTGCCTAGCCAGAGCAGGACTGGCACAGGGGGAGGTGATAAGGCTCTGTTAAAAAAAAAAAAACAATTTTATATGAGTCTTAAAATATCCAGGAAAAATTCAAATACATATGAATATGTGAAATGGCAAATCCAGTTGCAAACCTGAATATTGAGTAGATCATCGTTACAGCAGCAGCATGGACACACAATCTGCTCCTCCCCCTTCCAATCAGCCCCTGCTTGCCTGCTCTGCTGCGATTGGCCAGGTGCATTTGGCCAGGGACCACCTCCAAATTTGCCCAGGATGGGGGTCTGCAGGCGACCCATAAACCCCCTTGCCGGCCTGGCATTGCTGGGGCTGACGGCCTGCAGGCATTTGAACGTCAGCGACTCTGGCCCTATTGACACAAATAACAGAAGGAAATGAGTCAATTGTCGGACAATATGGACACTGGTGAGTTCAAAATGATCCTCCATTCAGGTATACCCACTGCACTTTTACACTTTGACAATCTAAAGATGTGATTTGCTTTGGAGGTAAAAAAATAACTTCCCACCCCATGCAAAATCATAGAGGTACAACGAACAAAGAATAAACAAATCTTCAAAAAAGTTGCAGACTGCAATTCGCCACTGCATCCAGAGAATTTATAAAACTATTCATATCCTGAAGTGAAAACTGTTCAATTTAAGTGTTCATGAGCAAAGTAATACAAAACTGACTTAGGCACTCCCACTGAGAGTATACCCATTGATTGAAAGATTCAACAAGGAAGAGAAGTAAACCCACAATTTAAGACACCTTGTCTGTAAGTTGTCAGCCTTTGACAACTTGACGCAGGGACGAATCTCACAAAGTACATTGCTCAACATGTATTCTCAAGCCCCTGCAAACAATTTGCATTTCAAGGCAACAATTCTAAGAAACGTAGGCAGACAATTTAGTCCACTAACAAACAATGAACAGCTTGCAAACACCGTTTTACAGCAAGTGACAGCTTACAATACCTTGAAAGGGTGGAAGGTAATCCATCCATTCAGGTGTCTTGTGGAAACAGCCCCCTCCAGAGAACTGATGATGGGGGAATGAATGGATACGTGTAAGGACAATGAGAGGACTACATGTGCATATAAGTCAAATAAGAGAGTGCAGTAAACTGCTTACTATAAAGCTTTCATGGGATTGTCACCCTCTGTAGCATGGAGTTCGGTGTTTCGGCATATCTCATTTAGTCAACAAGAGTTACCAACTTCAAGGTAAGGGGTTAAAAATAAGGCAGAGCCTGAGAAAGAGACAAAGCAGAGTACTGGAAAATCTCCTGGGTATTGACTGAAAGTGGTGCCATGTTTTACTCACAATATGGGTGTGTCTCGATGATTGGCGTAGGGGGGCACCCTTGGACATTCCTTTCTTCAAACGTTCAAAGTATACCTCCACCAGCAGCTCCTGTCCAAATGCAAAGTGCAGCTTTTTGTAAGAGGAATGGAAATTGTGTGCTTTGCTGCAATTGACTTGATAATTCTACAGTAGGTCACCGGCCCTCATTAAGTGCAAAGCCTGCCCAGTCACACCTTGTTTAAATGACATAGCAACAGCTGCCGATAAGACAGCCTGTGGAAACCTTTGGGCAGTGGCTGCATGGTGCTGTCTTCCCCAGCCAGGTCATTTGGACAAAGCTATGGCCTTAAAGGTAGTGCAACTTGGAGTTCTTCATTTAGCAGCTACCATGGTCACTTGATCCAAGAGGGAAGACTTCTGCATCTGGATATTTTAAAAACTGGCCCAAATTTTCCGAACCCATTCCATCAATGGCTGGGTAGTGTCATCACTATGCCTAAGTATTAATTGGGCATGTATAAATTGATCTTCTCTGTAGATTCTGGAACATGTATCACAACTCATAAAAAAATCCATAATTTTTTCCTTTTTGGGAACGTTGATCACCACAATTTGATCATGCTGTTTAAAAACTATCTAATGGACTTGTAAGTGTGCTCCAAACAAAAGACAGAGGGCATCCTAGAAATTTAAGTCATGTTTTTTTGTGGACAATGGCTACTTGCTGTAATTATTATTGGCATGGCAGAGAAAGGGGACTAGCCTACAACTGGTACAAGCGTGAAGTGCAACATAGCTACACAAAGCGCCGGTGTTTAACTCACTGCTGCACCAGGGAGCACCGTGTGGCGATGGTTGGTGGACACGACCTCCTCCAGGAAGCGTTTGAGGTGACTGTTGGCCAGCGAGGTCAGTGACTCGTTCTCATCCTGTAGAAAAAAAACTAAAACATTTTGGACTAGTTCGGGGAGGAAGGGAAGAAGATCCTCCAGTTCTGATACTCAAAAGGCTATTTTGACTGGAGGGAACATGTCGGCCTTGGTGACCTTTTTATCTGAACAAGGTTGCTCTCACCCACAGAAGTTCAGAAATGATGACTTAAGGTGCAAATTGTGTCCAAACTTAACACATGAGCTACAAGCTGCCAGAGCAACTTATAGGTGAAAGGCCTTGAAGTTAATCTTGTACCATGAAAATCAATGGGAATTTTCATTAGAATACCAAATAATGATACAAGCGCTTATAAAGGGCAATTCCATAAATGATCATTGCACTTTACAGAAAGAAATTGCAAAGATAACAAAAATATGGGTAATATATGAAAACAAGAACTCAATCTGTTGTTACTCATGTAAGCATATACAGATTTATTTTTGTGATATCAGGTCACAATTGCAAATTAATTGCCCATTTGGCTCTTTTTTCCTGTTCTTTGTTTTCTCTTCTTTGGTTTTGTAACAAGCCTTTTCGAGACTGAGAAATATAAGCACCATAAAAGTTTAACTTTGATATGAAAACCATTTTTAGAAAAAAATTCTTGGGCCTCTTCCACTTAAACCCAGAGAACAATGCCCCAAATTCTTGAAAGAAGCCAAGACAAGGGAACACTCACCCTGAGCAGCTTGATGCAAGTGAAGAGAGAGACAGTGTTCTCATCAATGAGCTGAACCAGGGCAGACAGCAGGCTCTCCGGCTCCTGTTGCCGAATTAACTACAGCAGGCAGGAGTTCAGGAAAAGAAAAAATGCCCAGATACGAGCTGTTCACCACTTGCAGATAGTATTCAGTATTCTGCAACGACTTTTTTCCCGGGGTGTAACTACATGTATATTCTGCCAAAATATTAACTTTTTAAAACGAAAAGATACCACGACTACAGTCCTTTACAAAGTCAAGTGTGACAAGGCCGACACCCCGTGGTCATTTGTTTGACATCTATGAAACAGTGCACAATGCATCGCCCCTTGTTTGGACACTCAGAGACAATGTTGCTAAGCGTGTGGAAAAGCATGGGTGCCATCTGGCAGAGATCAGAACGTGTTTAAACATACGTCTCATTACAACACAGGAAATCCCCACTTGTAGAGAGGGCATCCAGCATGAAGTGGCTGAAAGCCAACAGTTTGACATTTCCCCACATTAACAAAAAACATACTATTCTCACTACAATTAACCAGAAAGGTTCACACTGGGCACAAAAGTGATCACCAATGTTACGTGCTATGCACATTATGGGCTCTTCAAAAGTCATCACCTCCAATGAATGTTTTGTTACCACCCAATCAACTGTCCACTGGAGATCACCTGACAATTTTCGCAAAGTCTACCAAGTGATCATGGTGAATGAGGGCCAAGCAGTCCAGGTTGCCCCAGCCCCAGAAAAAAATGCAACTTCTTAGCTCTACTGGAGATCACCTTACAATATTCGCAAAGACTACCCTGTGATCATGGTGAATGTGACCAAGAAAGTACCTGGGCCAGGTGTGAGAACTGGTCTTCTCCCTGTAGCAGGAGGGACGAGTGCTGAGTGCAGAGCTGGGTGATCTCCTCCCCGGACAGGGTGCAGAGGGTGGTGGCCGCCTGCTCCAGATCGCCCAGCCGCAGGTACGCCTCCGACAGGGCCAAGCGGTCCAGGTTGCCCCAGCTGTTTATGAAGAGAAAATAATGCAACTTCTTAGCTCTTTCTGTTGAAACTTTACCCGAACAGTCCTTAATCTTCCACCTGTTTAAGGATTGAAAGCTATTTGGGTTTGCATTGTCCCCTGTCTTGAGACTGATTAATACTTCAGGCAAGCAAAAAAGAGCAATGAATTTAACTTCCCAAATCATTTAATTTGCCAGCAGTGAAATGCGTTCAACGTTTGCACATTCCCTGCATGAATATTTGATCTGACATCACAATTTTGCATTTGTATGCTCTTTCCCACTGAGTAGTATGAACCGCCTTTACTAACTTGCTCAAAGGTGCATTAACCATCATATAAATAAACAGGTCCTTGACTGATGCTGAGAATGTTGTTTTCCACGCTCTTAGTGCCAATGTCAAAATTCCAAGCTACAGTAGGTTCCCCTTGATTCTACATGCATGTATCCCTTTGGAAAGTTCATATACAAATGATCCTGTTTAAGTTCCACAATTGAGTTGTGAATAGAATTTTGAATGGGATGAGTTGCACTCTCTACATTGACAAAGGTTTCAATACTCACACATATCTTCCTGGAATTCCAACAAAGTTCACACTAGGAGGACAAAAAAAAAGAATTTTAGAAAATTAGCTGTTCCGTTGGTCATTGTCCAATAAATCTAAAGTAAATCTGAGCTGCTGAAATCAGCAACAAACAACACAGGCTCATATGCAGCTGGGGTAGATGGCCTTGGTTGGCAATGCAGGAAACACACTTTTTGCAATGAGCAAAAAAATTAAAGCGGATTGTGAAGAATTTTCTGGACTTCCCTAAAGCTAAATGTTTGCAATATCACCAAAAAGGGAAAGCGATTTTGAAAAGCCATGAATATACATTCTGATGTAAGATGCTGCATGAATTTGATACACATTACAAATGTAAATCTTTATCATGAACATCACCCTCTAATACAGTATGGTTCCCCCACCCCCGCTTTTCAAATTTCATGACCGTCTTTCCCCCCCCTTTCCCCATCCCCCCATCCCTTCCCCCCAATTTCAAACACTGCACGTGCTCTTCGACAAAGTTTAACATATCACAAAGCTTCTTTGCTAGGTGAATTTTACCTGCCAATGCTCAGATGATAAAACAAAGTATGTTATTTAGTTCAGATGCACTAAGTTACCTTCTATCCTCTTAAAAACCGAACGTCTGGCACTTACTGATGTCCTGCTTGATGGGCGTCTCTGACTTTAGATAGGACGCTCAGGGCATTGTCGGGACTGACGAGAGATGCAATCTTAGAGAAGAGCACCACTTTGCTACAATGCTGGGGTGCCAGGGACATGAAATACTTCAAGATGTTGTCTGCCATCTCCTGCAAGACAGTGGGAAGAGGAAATGTTTAGGGCACTAGAAAAATCTGTACAAATAACGTAGCGGATTTTGCCCCCCGCCCCACCAAGAACTCAGCTGTCCCATGCCCAGTCTTTTGAATCTTCACTGACGTGTAATGAATTCATTAAGCCTAACCCTCCTCAATCCTCCAAAATCTTTCGGGTGGTTTTTGGATGATTTTGGAGGATTGGGGGTGAATGGTGAGAGTGCATGGCTGATTGCAAAGGATGCCATGCATGAAGGTCATGGGTTAGACCTTGTTGTTTTTGCTCAGTCCTGCTTAAATTCAGCCCGATATTTCTTTTGAATCAACGGCACTGCTGAAGAATGCCATTCGCACCCGCCTCAACACAATGACAGGAATTGCTAGAGGATTTTGAAGGATTGAGGCAGTAGGCACACCTCCAAGTAACATTTTCAAGAACTTTTTTGGAGGATTGAGGGAGAATCCCATTTTTCATCCCACAAATTGGAGATTCTGGAGGATTGAAGAGGGTCCCTAGCAAAAAGGGCATAGGGGCTTTGCGTTAACAGTACATCTGCGAAGTTTCAATTCGATCCAACGTACATTTTTCTGTTACGATCATTTTACACTTTGTGACCTTGCTTATGTCAGCCTGGTTACGCCGAACACATCAATAGGAGAGATGAACATTTTCTACTGTCCTCAGTCTCAGAAAAGCGGACCTTCCAAGAGATACAGTGCATCCCGTTTTTATAAAATTGTTGTGAAAATTATTACAAGACAACACTGATGAAAATCCTGAAGGCTCAGCATGAAAGAAAAATGCATCACTTGTGACAATATTGGCAGAAATGTCAAAAGGTGTTGATTTCAACCCCTCTCCCACACTCTTTAAAGGTTTCAATGGGATCGTTAAGATGTAATCTTGCATACTTCGATCAGTGCGAGTCCCTAAGAAATGTGTCACGGACCAGCATGAGTTCCCAACATTATCCATGCAGAATTTCCACAACAAATGTTGTAGAGGTCCAAATTCACTTTTTATGAAGACACTCTAAAATGTAGATCATTTTGAAGTGACTACCTTGAAAGACTTCCTCAAGTTTGCAAAAGGAATTCTCAACTTTCATGTCCTTGCCAGGCCACCGTACTTACCTGATCAACCTCTACCGTGCTGTTCTCGTCAAAGAGCGCCCAGTCTAAGTAGTGGATCATGCCAGACCCTGCCCCGGTCACGATCTCCTCATCCTAAAAAGATATGAGAGATTATCAGCCAGTCACAGTAAAGACCATGGTTAGCTCAAATCTACATAGGCATACACTGCATTGTGGGAAAAGGTAAACTGTGCTCCGAATCACTGCACATGTCACCCACAAGGGGTGAGCATGTACAGAACTTGGCAGGGAAGCCAGTCAACCTCTTGTCCAGAGCCTGAAACTATAGGCCAGAGAAGCCTCAATATACAGGCCTGAAATCAACACAACATTTACAACAAAAGCCTAAAACCAAAGGCCAATTTCATAGAGCTGCTTAAGCAAAAAAACCTTACTAGATAAATCAGGTAACCAGCCAAAACTCCATGTGACGTATATTGTTTTGGGATTGTATTTAGCTGTTTAGCATGACAATCAGATACAGTTTGAGCTGAACTTTGTTTATTGAGCAAAGTTTTTTCCTGCTTAAGCAGATTTTATGCTTAAGCAGCTCTATGAAATTGGTCCCTGCAGGCTTTTGCCTGAAATCTGGCATCCTTGACTTTTTAGACAATGCACATCATCTGCATTGTAGTTAATAGCACCCTGTGGCAGCTGGGCAACGTGACATTGCAAAATGAACTGTCATACCTCTTTGTTGAATACCCCTTCTTCATTGGCTCAGAACAATCATGTGACAAGGCAACATAACCAAATTTCACATTTATGTCACCCTCAGGTATGCACAGCACCCTTGGCTTCGCCTCATATCCTGCATCACAGCAGTCAACAACTGCTAAGTACAGTTGGCAATGCTGTACAGATGATGTACAAATGGTTTGCAAGGGTCAATATTTATAAAATCCAATGTGGTGATGGACCTTTGCCATGATCTATTGTAATTTTAAAAAGGGCAACATTTTTGGCCAAAAATGATGAGGCAAATTTACTGTGAAATAATCCCGACATCAAGCTGTTAGGGCCACCCCCTCCCTTTTTGTGTACAAGTCTAATGAATCCATCTCAAATCCTGACATGCAGTCACCGAAGAGTCCATCACAAGTTATTTAGCCTCGAGTCAAGTCACAAGCTACGGGCTTCATGGGCACCGGCCATTTCGAACCTTCTAGAAACAACAGAACCAGTACCAATGAAAAGAATAAATCTTTGTTATGAATATGCATGAGATAATTTAATGGCCACACATACCTCAAAGGCCGTGTACGGCTTCGGGCAAAGCTGGATAATTTTCTGCAGGGGAAGTTCGGACATGTTGAAGTATGGTAGTGTCAGATGCCAATCCGTTGTTTCTCCTCTACAAAGTGGCATTAAAAAGAGTGAAGTTAGCAAGTGAAGTGTAATTTGTCCACTTCTTTGACGAACTAAATAAAAAACGAGGACCTTCATTTGTTCACAGGTGGACAGCACTATTGGTATATATCTTAACAGTGATAATAGATGATCTACCTATAAATGCTTAACTTTGTCATTTAATCTTATGCAGTCTTCCATCTGATGTGGTGCCACTGTGTTCTAGTCATTCTACAAATCTGTTACCTGGGTTTACTTGCGGTTAGCCCCTGACAATAAAAACTTTCTGGTCTACTTACCTGCAGTAGTGCAAGGCCAGCTGCAGACAGGATTGCAGGTAGAGAGAGCGCAGTTCGTCAGACGATTCGGAACTCTGAGAATCTTGAAGATGTTGAAAGAATGAGTCATTTTCAAAAGTCAGGAGTCCAAATGATCATTACTGATGTTACAGTTACACAAAACACCATGAGGTTAACACAACACTGCAGTCTGGTGACCAATCCCTCATTCATTCAGACATACAACCATTGAATTCACACATTCCTGGATCCAGCACCAGTGTGAGACATTACTGTGTACCGTGGCCCCTGTCGTATCTTAGGGATTTCAGGACCTTGGATTTGTCCCCTTAACTGAGGGCCTTGAAGCATGAGCTTTGGTTAACCACTTCGCAGCGAATGAAGTGTAAGCCCACGGTGGATGTGTACACTCATTTAAGAATTCTTTTTTGATTTTCGTGGTTGATGTATTAATGCGTCGTGCTTGAGTTGGGTTGAAGCACAGTTGCAAGGTTGCAGAATTTGTTAGTTACAAAACCCACCCCTAGCAGCTTTTCGGGTAAGTAAATCTGATGAAAACTGGTTAAATAAATTGTCCCTTTTCTGCTCAAAAAGTTAGAAATTTTACAAAACGAGGCCAGAGTTTGCACAGTTCAATCATGAATCTTTTCTAAGTAAATGTTGGGCTGGCATACAAATTGGTAATACAAAACCTTACCCAAAGACAAGGTTCCGTTTGGCAAATGCCCAAGCCCAGTTAACAATGTAAAATAAAGCAAACGCAACCACAACATTAGTGCGCAAGGCACTGCATTGTCCTCGCTCATCAGGCCCACAACCATTCCTGAAACCATTTCAGTTTCGCAGAGAGCTTACAGTTCTAATGCAGCCATTTTAGGCATGAACCGCTCATCAAACACAGTAACCTGTCTCCAAAGGTACCCATTCATGCAGTGGAAAGCGGCAAGCAGGTATGAAATGCCTTATTTCAGGTCACAATATATAACTAGCACCTGGATTTGAACCAATAATGATCCTTTGATAGAGTCACAAATCCTAATAAAGCAGCATCCAATAAGTCCCTCCCCTCATCTCAGTTGCTAATGGGTAGGAACAAGTTTTATTTTCATCACTGCACAAACTGGCTGGGGACAAAGCCCAATGAAAACCCATTCCAGCACCGACCTTTCTGCTCAGTCTGCTGGTGACGAGGGTTCTCCCTTTCCAGGTTGGCGGCCGTCCTCAGCAGCAGGTGGCCCTCCAGCAGGCTCTGCAGGTAGCCAATGGGGCTGGTGCTGCGGTAGCGCTCCCCGAGATCGGCCAGCGACCGGTAGACAGCAGTCAGAGGGGCCTGCTCCAGGACATACACCGCACTGGCTTTGCTGGATATGCTGGCGCTCATCTCACTGGCGGCCAAAGGTCGAATTTATGGGGTGTCAGTCAAACGGATGGGCAAGCTACCTAAACAGCCTCTCCTCACCACTTGCAACAGCTATAAAATGCTTCCCTGCGAATACATCTGTGACACGTTTCATAGGAAGCGCGCTTTGCCCACTTTGGGAAGTTTGGGGAGGACTTGCAAGTTTCACTGGCAAATCTACAGCAGTCTTAGGAAGTTTAAATATTCCTTTTTGAAAGGCCAAAAGTAAGTATCAAAACAGACTAATCCCACGACAAATATATGAACCACTACTGTGGTGGCACAAGACTCATACACAGATGGTATGTGCACGTTGAATGCCTCTTTGCAGCTGAGCTGCTGCGGCTTACCAAATAGAAGAGCTCCTTAATAATAATAAGCTATCTCGCTAGATTAGTCTATACAGGGGCCAATTTCATAGAGCCGCTTAAGCACAAAATGTGCTTAAGCGTGAAAAAACATCGCTTAAAAAAACAAAGGTTACCAGCTCAAACTGTATCTGATTGTCATGCTAACCAAAAGATAGCTAAATACGATCCCAAAACAATATACATCACATGGAGTTTTGGCTGGTTACCTGATTTATCAAGCAAGGTTTTCTCGCACATAAGCAAATTTTGTGCTTAAGCAGCTCTATGAAATGATGAGGCAACTTTACTGTGAAATAATCCCTACATCAAGCTGCTAACCTTATTTCCAAGTCAAAGTTTGGTCTCCTGAGTGACCTCCTTCAAGTACTTACTTACCCTCTGGTTGGCATGGCTTGCCCTGAGTTGTCTTTGGCCTTGGATAGGAGCATGACGTGGTCCTGGCTGATGGTAATCTGCGTCACGCCAAGGTAGGGCTCTAGACCGACCAGGCTGATGTCCATTGTGGCAGGGGGGCAGGTCTGCAAAGACAAGATCCAAAAGACAAAGTTTCATGTACTATCGCCAAATGCTGTGATGCCCTGAGTCACAATGAAAGGTACATACTAAAAAAAAACTGTCTCTGGGTCAAGTTCAGCTTCAACATCTGAACAGAAACCCACAAAATCTTTAGAAACTGAGACTGCTTGTATTTCTCTTTGTAGCATGCACCCTTAACTTTGTGAGCATTTTCACTGGAAACATTGCTATGGCTATACATTGCACAACTGTAAATTAAACCAACCTGCACTGCAAAGGTGATATTGTAATAGTGAGGCTTGGCTGTAAAGAGCAAAGTGAGTCAAAATACCACAAACCTGGCACAACTGGCGCCAACAAATTGTGTGAAATGTTAGCAGGCCACCCAGTTTTGATATACAAGCATGTCAGTCACTGTGTGGACCTCTATTTGAGGTCCACACAGCTGGATAGGGGAGACCATGTGTGGACTTGCCCATGTCCTCATAAGGTTTCCCCTATCTGAAAAACAGATTTGGAGGCATTTTGGGTTGAAGGTTATCATGACAAAGTGAAGAGGAACAGCCAATGAAATCAAAAATCTCGCTCAAAAGAGTCTAAGCACTTCATGAAAGATGAGCATCAAGATCTCCACTGAGTTCTTGTAACTGCACAAAAGCAAAGGAATGCCCACACTAGGTATGCAGTCCTAACGTGTACGAGTAGACGTGTTTTGTACTAAAGAGAGCCCTGCACTCAGCAGGATTGTGAAATTAAACTCGGTGACATTTAATTACTGTGATTTGGAGCATTAAGATGAATGGACCACTCAGTGTTGACTAGAATGACGAGCCACTATCACTTGACACTGTGACAAACCAAATTCCCAATTTTCTATCCAGAGTTAGGGATACCAAAGCAGCTCTTATGCTCACTGGAAGAGAGGTACCTTGGAATTTCAACAGGACAGCACACCTTGTTTACATGTATGCTTTCCAATGGAGCTTGCATCTACCAGCCCCTCCCGGCTCCAATAAGAGAGCGCACCTGTAAACAAGGCGTAAAATCAACAATGCAGAGGCCTATTTCAGACATTTCAAAATCTGAGACATTCAGAGGGCTCACATTGGCAATGTTGTCGACGGCCTCCATGTTGGGCAGGGCGGCGGCCATGGTCCGCAGCGTGTAGGTCTCCAGCCCATTCTGAGTGAGGGCGTACAGCAGGCTTCGCCCCGCCTTCACCTGCAAGGCCTCGGCCTTGTAGGTGTACTCTGTCAGCAGGCGCGGCCTAGGCTGAACCTCATACAGGTAGCCCTCCCGGGCGGCACTGAAGAAGCAGCACAGGCCAGCCAGGTTCTGGGCATTGTTGCTCTCTAGGAGATCATTGCTGGGCTCTGTCTTGCTGCTGGAAGCTGGAAACAAAAATCCACCAAAAAAAAATTGAGTAAATGACTTGCAAAACATTCTGTAGAATCTTTACCCACGAACAAGAAATCCAAATTTGAAATGACAGAGATTCACTTGTACCTTTAAGCTTAGTAGGTCCACGTTTGATGCTTATCCCACATTCCTTCGTTCAAGTTTCACATAAGGAGTATTTTAGATTGTTGGTTGAAAAAGTTTCGGGTATTGTCCTTTCCCTCCCAAACACAAAACATTTACTTTCAAGAGGACGTTTTTATTAATCTGAGAGAAAAATGTCACCGAATAACTGACACATTCGTTGTTTAATCAAGCAACTGAACAATACTATCTGAACTATTCTTTAGTTTATGGTTTTACCAGTAGCATAAGTGGGGAGGAGCTGTAGGGACTGCAGACTGTTATCACCCTCAGAAATATCGGACATGAAGCGGCGATAGAGTAACTGAGTCAATGCTGTCTTCAACCTGGAACAGCCAAAAACCAACCTTGTCAAATACAATATCCAGTCAACACCACAGATGTCGATGTACAATCCAAAGGTAAATAATCCAGATTACAGGTGGGAGACTTACAACATTTAAACATTATGTTTCAAATCTGTTCTTTTAGATGTTTGACCTTTTGATTGATGCAATCTGCCATTCCTATTTTTTGTAAATGATGCTTGTTACATATTGCTTTTTCGGCATTGATATATACATATAATTGAGAAAAAAGTGGATTCTAAAACAATAAACACTGCTTGTTTTAAATGTCCCAACAGCAATCTACATTTTTACACTGGTTGGATCATGTGCACTGTTAAACTACAGTAAACTTCTGATAAGTTGGATCCAATGGGACCGACCGATTTCATCCGACTTAGGTGAAAATAAGACTTACGCGAAGGAGATATGCATTACACAGTCACTGATCTCCAGCCATATAACAGCCACAGCTCACAAAGAATGAAATAAAGTAATACCGCAATGTTTCTAACACCAAATATCATTTCTTTCCACACTACACATACATTTAGGGCCTAATCTACAACAGAGAATCAAAGCATGCTTCACCAATCACATGTGCTACACGAGTTTGTAACCTTGAGCATTGGCCATCACAATGTATGTGTACTTCGGTAGCCGTACTTCGTCCAGCCACCTTATCCAATAAAAAATGCAGACTGTGATTACGTGGCCACATATATGAAGACATTTTCCAGGCGGAAATCAAGTTCATTCATGCAGTATGGCAATGGGAGCAGCGCAAGAGATGGAGCTCAAGCAAAGGTTATAGGCTGCTACTGAAAAGTACGATGTGTACACGAGTGGCCCATGAGACGTGGCATTGCAGATACCACTGCTGTGAAAGCCTGCTGGAGCCAGCGCCCAAATTACAGAAAATTCCAAAAATCTCTGTGTTTACTGGAGTAAATAAATGTACAAAAATCTTTTTTTTTTGTTAATCCAATTTAAAAGAGGTAAAAGATACAGTATTTTAACAAATGTTTCAAGCTGATTTGTGCGAGAAAAGCAAAAGTCCAACTTATGCAATCCGACTTAGGCGAGGAATTTTATGAAGAAAAATATGAGAAATCAAATGTTCCAATCGATTTCTATCAGAGGTACATGTAAGTGAAAATCCGACTTAAACAAATCTGACTTGTCTGACTTATGTATATAATTATGCATATATATATGAAAACAAGGTAGACAGCGATAGCCTCTGTAAAGTGTTGATTTAAACGTTTATATGGTATGGGGAAGTTTTTGTAAACATTTTTCAAAGTAAATGTAAATTCCCACCCTGAATTCAGATTTCAATTTCAGATTGCAAGTTGTAACAGAATACTACAATTAACGCCATTGCTGAGTTAGACATTGTTACATGTACACTTTTCTGACTTTATTTAGTTGCCAGTTGAGACAACATTCATGCTAGGCTTTCTACTGACCTGACACATAGTCTTGTTGCTGTATCATATGACGTTTTTAATGCATGATGCTGATTTAAAAGTGCTTAAAGTAAGCGGTTTTGGTAGTGCACAGTACTTATACATTCTAGGACACTGACAGAACAAGACTTTCAGACAGGCACTATTACAAAGGGTAGCCCTCACCCTCGATGTCTGTAAATTGCACAGTATCTTGCTGGATTCTTGGAATTGGTATTGCTTGGGAATGAGGTGGTTTTGACATTGAAATGCAAAAAAAGAATGCCTACTTGCGAGTACGCCTCCTCGGAAACAGAATGTGAGTTGGGTGCCCCTCAAATCTGCCGACTGGGCCCATCATCTCCCAGTTGTCCTCAGAGCTTTCAAAGTAGGGATCCTCTGATTGGATGCTTGGGAGATACACAGACGCGCTGCACCAATAACAGAGAGAAACTAGTTTTCCATGGCATTTTTACAGACTGCATCTCTTCGGCACAAAACTTCGTCCAAGAGACTTTTCAGGAAAATTAATGTAACTTGGACAGGCAGGAACTCTAAGCTTCACACTGAAGTACCCCCACTTAAAACCCTGTAAAACCTCAAGGTGATCCCTGAGTTACCACCTTCTTATTTGGTATTATCCCCTCACGGGAAGCACTCTTGATCTTCGAGTGAGGTAAGCTACATACACATACCACTTACTTACTTGCCCGGGGTGGTTTGCTGGGCAGATGTTGCCCTGCTGCCATTGGTGCCAAAGGTGGTCTCGATCCCAAAGTCCCAGTCCAAAGCCGCTCCCTCGGCGATGACAAAGTAGGGCTGGGCCTGGCAGGCCTCCCGTGACTTTCCCTTCCGCTGCTCAGTGGCGGCAGGCTTCCAGGCGGACGGCGAGGCTGGGGTCTGGTTGCCGGTGCCGTCTGACTCAGAGCCGTTGAGGGAAGAGGGTGCCGGCCGGATCAGCAGCGGTACCCGGCGCTTGCCGCGCTGGGTCTTGACAATCTCGGTGTCTGTGACCGACCGACCGCGCAGTGCCTCCCGGCCAGCCATGTCCCAGACACGGACTTTTACCACCTGTGATATATGTCCATGGTAACATTATCCCAACAGAGAAGGGGGAAGGCCATGTGGTCTCTCCAATGTTGTTGTGCCTCTGCCAAGCCCTAAGCAGTATCTTATGTCTTGCAATCATTTTGATACCAACATGAAAATCTGTGGACTGTTCTTGCAAACAAATTTTTGCAAGACAGGTGGCCAAAATGTTAACTTTTCCACTGACATCAACTCAACTCAGAAGCAGCAACTCATGAAGAAGTGAAATATGTGTGACTACAACAAACCGCTTGTCAGATTTGACACTCCACAGATATACCTAAAATGCACATTCTCCCTGTTGGTACAAGTTTCAAAAAGACTGAGGGGGCCACGGCATCCTCTCCACCCAGCTGCACAAAAGTCAAACAATAAGCTTTTATGGGGTTAGGGTACTGCATTTTTCCCACAATCTTTCCGATGTGGTCTGTATAAAAAGCCCTGTATCTTAGGAATACGCTCTGGTTGGATGAACCCCAAGCTAAGCTCACCTGCAACTCCTGCGTTCCCATGCAGGCGATGGTTCCCTCGCACATGCACACCTCCCGCACCATCAGGCCCATGCGCAGCTGGATCAGCCAATCAAAGTCCATGCACTCGGCCAAGAACTGGTAGACTGACACTGTGTTGTCCACCCCGGCAGCCAGGTTCCCTGTGGCCGGGCAGCAGGCCAGACACTGGGCTGGGGCGGGGGTCTGCACCTCTACTAGCTCGAACTGGCGGCCAGCACTGGGTCGCCGGTCCAGATGGTACGTGGAGACGGTAGCGCCTCGCTCCCGGATGTCGCCTGGGGTGTGCGGGAACAAGACAGGAATCATCCAGTTTGTTCTCTGGAGAATGACTATCCACAACAAAATGGCATGCTTTCATGATGACGGTGGTCCTCTGATAGGAACGCACCATGAGCAAAGGGTTATGCCAGTTCAGTACAAGGCATACCGAGCGGGCACAACCATTTTCCGTTTGAGAGTAAGGTCTGTCACAGGTGTGCCATGTGTCTGAATGAGTCTGGTTGGGAAACTTTAAACAAGCCCGTCTTCTGTGCCAGTGAATGACTGCTTCTCGTCTGTGCAGATGGTGTATAGTCAAATCATCAACAGGAGCTGAACAAGTCCAGTCACAAGCCCTTTTACAAACCCTTACCATGCCCTTTCACAAGACCAGTCAAAGCCCTTTCATAAGGCCAGTCAAAAGCCCTTTCACAAGACCAGTCACAAGCCCTTTTACAAGACCCTTCACATGCCCTTTCACAAGATCAGTCATAAGTAACAAGGCGAAAAATGACAAAGAAATCCTTAGGCCATACTTCATGTGAATAGCTTGTGCCTTGGCTTACTGTACAAAATGCCATATAAATACAATATAAATGACTTAAGCAGCAATACATGTATATTAATGGGTTTTGATTTAGCAGTATATCTTATCCTCTTCAAAAATCAAGTCTTTCAGACAACTTTAACACTTTTTTGTTCCGATAGTTTCGAAAGATATCAATGACAAAAGTCCCTTTACAGCAACAACACTTGGGCTGTGCATTCCACGATTCTGGAAAATCCCCTTAATGATTCTAAAGGATCTGGAAGGGTGTGGGTTGAGCAACACACTTTTCAAAAATGATACGGCTGAGGCTAGAAACAGCACATGTCAATGGAAAATGGTTGTGGCCACAAGAACCAGAGGCAAAGAGCCACAGCACAAGTGTCTTTTCTAGCCGCAACTGCAACGTTCAGAGGCATAGCCCGAGTTACCTCCGGCAACTCGAGCCCGGACAGCCAGGTGCCGCCCACTCATCTCCCAGTTGAAGTACACCCGCAGGGAAGTCGTCTGGTGCTGTGCGTTGCCTTGCACCTCCAGGGTGGCGATGTAGTTGCCTGTGTGACATCAACCAAAGTCAATCACAACTAAATACATACATGTACATGTGGAAAGCTGTTGTAAACCTGAAGTCAAGTGATGACTAACCACTGTGGGCCAATGCATGTACCGGTCAGCTCATTCACGTGCAATGTGATTTAATGCTGCAAACACAGCACAGTCACTGCAATTCCATGTTCCGTGCAAAGGCTGCTCAGTAATGTACACGTATCGCAGTGGAGCCGATTATGTTTGGTGCCTACAACCAATTTGGGGATCTGGGAGTTACAGCATACAAAAATACCAAACAGTGCAATACAACACTTACTTGTTGGCATCTTAGCTTTTCTCTTTAAATGTATTGATTTTGGAAAAGCTCCAATTCCAACTTTTCATTATACAGTGTTAGCTTCGCATAGTGCATTCAAAGGAAACCCTGCACAACAGTGCCAAAACCCTCATTGTTGCATTTAATACGCAAGGTCACTTGGTAAACATGTTTACAAATAAACATACAGAATGTTGTGCAGTATTACAGGTACAATCTAAGTCAAGTATCAATAGCTCCCCCCCCTCCCTCCACCCCCCCTCCACTGCTTATTCACAGATGTTAAGTGGACAAGCTGCTTTTGCCCCACAGCCTAGTGTGTTGAACCCCCATCTTGGAGGTAGAAACCAGGCAGAGGAATTGCAGTCCTTTGTGTCCACAGGCAAAACACTTTGTCAGTAGTGTACCACCCACAGTTAATAGTGTGACAGATCACAAATGACCTACTCCAGTGAAAATGAGTAATAGGGTCATTGTGTTTCACTAATGGTGTTTTCGTTTGCATCAGAATGAGCAAATTAAGCTCTTTGTTTTGTAAAAGTTTGGCATTCCATGAAGACGTAAATGTGGGCGACTGTTTTAAGGTCATTAATCAACCCTGCTAGGTCCTCAAACCTCCAACAGGTGAACGACTGAAGGCCGTTGGAGCATGAAAAGTGACTCTGGAGACGTCTGACTAATTGTCACGGTCCGGATCAGGTACATTTGCATCTGATTGGTCATTTAATTTTGCTGGAGTGGTAGAATCAAGCTCTTTAAGTTCGGAGGAGTCAAGATGGTCTTGAGAATGATTTACAGGACTGGTGAGCAGGGGTAATAGCATGCCTTAAATTTAGATACTGGTGTCTACAGTCAGATGTTTGTTTTTATTGCTTTTGTTTTTTTAAGCCATTAACTTTAAACTTCATTTCAACAAACCGGTGGTACAGTGCACTCCCTGTTGAACCAGCCCCGCTGTGGTGAAACTGTGCTGGAGTGACCCATGACCTTCGGACGAACCGTCCCCAAGCCGGTACACGTTAACACTGTGCTGCAGGGTGGCCACAAACAGCTGGGTCCGGGAGGCGAAGATCGTCAGGGGGTCTTGAGACAAAGCTAGTGTCTTCGGGTCACCAGCAAATTGGTGGCAAGGCAAAACGTGAACCATAGCGGACAAATGGGACGGAATATTTATTCTGCATGTTGAAAACAAACAAAAAGAAGTTTAGGCGCAGGTAAGTGACTGTAAAAAAATGGTTAAGAAATTAATTTACAAAATTAAACAATCAAATTAATTTACTTGCTGGTGTATGTAACAGAGAAAAATGGCACACTATGGGGGATTTGTAAAAGAACAAGAAACTCTAATTAAACCAAGGATCTTTGAGGGACAGGTTGCAGGAAACTGATTTAATAAGGACTCAGACACCAACATTTGATTTAAAAAAAAAGGACACAAAAGAATTTACAAATGAAAAATAACCCCCAAAAATAAAAAAAAAAGGAAAAGGACCACCAGACTGAAAAGACTTAACATCAAAATGCCAAAACTTTAAAAGAACTAAAACCAAAACCAACACAGTGTGTAAAATGGACCTTATGAGTTTACACTCAGACTTCAATCACTGACTTCTAAAGCAGAAAACCCACACTCCAGTTAGGAGGAACAAGACATTGACTGGTCCCTGCTGATCTGCTACACTGAGTGAGGCCAGACCATGTGGCTACATGATACATGTACATGTATGGGGGAAGCTGGGGTAATAAACGGGGGCACAGTCACTACTAAAAAAATCAAGAACTTTAATAACTAAAGTTACACATTTTTAAAGGGGAGCTACTTCTATGTAAAAATGTGTATTTAATAACATACTCATTTCTGGCTCTGCCACATGTACATACATGTACGTTAACCACTTGCTGGCGGGGATACCCATTTTGAGCACCATGGGTTTATACGCAGGGCCAGGGTGCCCAAAATGGGAAAAAAGAGCTGGTCCGTGTAACAAAAGACTGTACTTGGAACAAAAACCTGCTGCTGGGAATTGCCATCATTTTTTGGCTTGCATTTTTTCAAAGGTATTCCGTCACTGTCTTCAACCCCAAGTCTCATCGGAGAACGCAGTAAAAATTGAGATCCCTCAGCCCGCTTTTCAGCTATTATTCTCGGCCCACGCTCGAGCGAAGATGGTGAGAAAAGGCACACCCTGGCTGTTGTATATATGGTGATTGGCCTTTGTGTGTTGCCAAGAAATGAAAAGGCCAAATTTGCATCATAATCACTAGCTTCACAATAGTTCCAAATTTGAAATGAGGCAACGGGAATATGGAAACGTGAGTAGAGCCGCACGCCACCGAGCAATCAGCCTTTTCACTGTGAAAATCAAAGCATGCAGAGCACACAGGGCCACAAACCGAGAATTCGCAGTTTGGCAGGTGGCCTTCGTGGCCAAGCAAGGCTGGAATTCTCGGAGTCGGCTTTCATAAAAAAGTCCTGGCGTCAAGGGGTTAAACTGTATACCACTGTTTTGGGCATAGTGCACCCGCATATTAGCACCGCGGACAAAAGTGCTTCAGGGCCCCATTGATGAGCGACACAGCACCACTGCCTGCTAATCCAGCCACGTTTGAAAAGATGCCACTCGCATTCACTGGGGACAAAGGAAATTACGCAACACCTCACAATTCTGGGCTCTCTTTACAGGGTGGCAGGCCTGGCTGAAAAATTCAGGAGTCAATGAAGGTTGCCTGACAGCTTAGAGTAGACACCATTTGACCAACAGTCATTTGTGTGGGTGTAAATGTCGATTAACTGAAATGAATTTTTGAAGAAATTTTGAAAACTGAACATCTTGAAAATCTCCCTTATGTGAGCACTCCATTTTTAAAAGCACTCAGCAGCATGTGGTTAAACATGTTAACAGACTGATCTTCTCATACCCCTCGCTCAGGGGGCGGGGTTTAGCATAAGCGTAACGTGAGTTGGCCCACTAGTATCGTAGTGGGCATGAATGATGTAGGGCCTAGGCCTCCGGCCGGGCACGGGAGATATCTCTCTGTGCAGCACATTTCGAGGTAATAAAACACTCAAAAGCAACAGCTAACAGTCACATGATATTCATATGAGCTATTCGAACGGTAATTCACAATATATTTCGTATGTAAACATAAATAATCACCTAACTTAGGGTGTACGTGTCTTCTGGCCACTTTTCTAGTTGCGAGTTGCACGTTCATTTGCCACAATTAGCTCCGCACACATTTTGTTATCATACGTCGATCAACAGTAGCAGCGCCCTCTGTCATTGATTTCATTTCCGGTTCAATGGCCTTTCTCAATGGTGCAGCTTTAGCCTGCGTTGCGCCTTGCGCCAGCATATATTGCTAGCGTCTCTGAAAAAAAAACCATTTGTACACCGAAATGTACAGAGCAAGTGAAAAAATACCTAGGTAGGGCTTCCAGTCGTGTGGTTTGATTTTCCTGTGAGGAAAATACACTGAAGCAGGATCTCAAAGGCAATGTACAGTACTAAAAAAAAATAAACGCTCCTAGCTTCCGGCTGTAGGCCAATAATGGATTGAGCTAATAGGTTTGAATTCAGCAAAGACGTACCTTTGATCATTCCACTGTCAAAGGTTATTTAACCAAGCAATTCTTGACAAACGCCTCTTGTGGCACAAAGAAGCTTAAGCTGTGCTGTTCAGTTACATGGGGCAACTGGGTAAAAAAGGCCGACAGGATCTGATTTAGCCGTCAAACCAACCTTTGTTTCAGCTTTAATGCTTGTCGGATCATAAACTTTAATTTTAACACATCAGTCTCATCAGGAAAGAAGATAAAAGGTATTTACAGTATACTTCTTATAGTCGTGTAACACAAGTATTAGGCTTTTTAAAAAGTTGATTATGTTAACGATAATATACAAGTCTGGATAAACGTTGACTGGAAGACTTATTTGGATGTCGAAAATAAAAAGTATTTATTTTAATCTGTGACATTCTCATGACTTAATATCTGAAGATATTTCAAGGTCTATTTTAAGAAACATTTGCATAATCAGTAACGAATCAAAAGTAAATTTAACAGTTTGTTTGCTTCCATTGACCGACTGGAAGTGCGTGAAAAATGTAATCAGACTTTAATGATATACAATTATTCAGAAACTACGTGCTTGCCGAAAGAAGAGCTTCACTAGGGTTGTTGTCTATAGTCAATCACTAGTCCATACACAACACAAATCCCTGGCCTTTCACAAGCCCAGTCATGAGTTCGACAAGATAGACCAGTCATAAAATTGTGAACTGAACAATGACTAACGGAAAGATTTTGGTCCTTGTTGGTTTGTATAGCTAGCTATGGAGGACGAAATGTGGCCATCTGCTTTTCTGCTATCAGAAGAGTAGATAAGCTGATTTTACGTCTTTGTAACATGCAATTTTTTATGTTTCTACTTTTCTGCTACCTCAAAAGCAGAATGACAGTTGTACTGTAATGCATTTTCTGCTTTTCTGCTAATACAAAAGTAGTTTTAGTTTTCCTCTTTTTAATGGCGGCCGAAAAGTGGCCATCTGCTTTTTACCTGTCAAGCAGGAAAGCGAATTGAACGTTTTGACGACAACCGTACGCGTGAATTCAACTTTTCTGCTGTTGTGATACCGGAAAAGCAGATTTACATAGGTGGCCAGAAAGTGGCCATCTGTTTTTCTGCTCTCAATGGGCAGTTAACGGGGGTCATGAACCTGTAGGATGATGGAATTCCATATCTGCCGTCGTGCGTCGCCCGTCATGCGTCGCCCATCGTGCGTCGCAAATGAAGAAAAAGTAAAATCTGCTTTTCTTGAAGCAGAAAAGCACAAAAATAGAAAAATGAATAACCAAACAATGTTCGTTCTGCTTTTTGAGGTGGCAGAAAAGTAAAAAAGTCGAAATTGCATGTTACCACAGCTTTTCTATCACTCTGGTAGCAGAAAAGCGGATGGTCACTTTTCATCGTCCATAGTATAGCCCGTGACTTTTTTCAAGACAGAATGACTTGCATAATGGACTCACAAGGACAAGGATTTTGATGGACAGGACTCAATACCGCGGATATAAATGTCTCAGTATAATCATTACAGACAACCTGGTGACGATACCACAAGCATTAATCAACATTGAAAATTGACAGATTTGAAGGAAATTGGTATCAATTTGATAAATAATAAAGCAAAGCACCAAATAGGATAGTATCAACGATATTGCTAAGAAAATACTCTTTTTATTGGTATTAAAATTAAATATTTTGATGATGGTTTCCTGATTATAAACTATTTACTGGTGCAACGGTAGTTACGCGCGAAAAGCTTTTTCTGCCGTTTTGTATCAACAGTGTTTTGCTCCCTCATAAATCGTGGAAAATCGGATACCAGTGAGCGATTGGAACTCTCGGCGACAGTATCATCTCTTCCCAGTGTGCATGCGCATTAAAGGCACAGTGCCTCCCAATGAGGATCTTGCCGATTTCTCGAAGCGCAGGGTCGGGTGATTCCGGGACGCCCTCGTCGACGTCAGGTTCATCGGCGGCAGCGGGCGGCGACTCTTTTGCCGCCAAGACGGTAATGAGGATTTTAATACGCTCCAGCTTGTCGCTTGGGATTTCGAAGAAGACAGCTTCCGAGAAGACCAGCGCTGAGCGCTGCTGGCTAGAAGTTATCCGACGCCTTTGGCCGCCCTTTGCCGACAGGACGAGCGACACCTTGATGGATGGTCCTGACACAAAATATTGACATGGAGACAAACAGAGTGACAGTATGAATTATTTTAGTCAACCTGCAGGTTTGCATTTTCAGTTATCAACTTCAAGCATTCATTAGTGCTTTTTGTCATTTAGTATTCAAGTAAGGTGTCTCTTGTTTGGTAAATCAGTTTATCTCGATGGACTTCTTTTGTAATGTAACAAATCCTCCTGTGCCGTAGAGTGATGTTTCGCTGGTTTCACACGTCTTGCCTCATACCAATGAATGATGTAGACTACAGTATATCCCAGCGATCCCCAATAACAATACAGGAACCGACTTGGTGTAAAAACTGGTATTCACTTCAAAATAGATGTTCTTTTGTTTTCACAAACACAAATGGATAAATTTACACCCTAAAAAGATCCAAAAATTCTAAAGGTCGATGGAATCAGCCAGAAAACAAAGAAATTACGGGAATTATGTGTTGTTGAGTTTGACTTACCGTGTAGATTGCGAAATCCTGTGGCCCTTAGTATTGTGATGTACAACCTTTCTGATGTCGGTAGGTAACTGAGAGATACCAACAATTCGCCAATGGGGGCCTGTGGCAATAATATGTTGAAATTTGAACAACATTAGTTTCATTGTTGACTTTTGACGTGAGATCCAAAACTTTCATTTCATCAGATAAAATTTAACTTCGTGGCATGGATATGACGTTTTATCACACTTTTCTGCCAAATAAAACAAGCAACGGGGATCGAGGAGGATGAAGGTAAAATATACCTTTTTGCATGCAAGACGTTACCTGTGTGCTTGGCTCAAGTGGCAATTCTTTTTGAATTTCCACTTTCCAGTCTACCCCTTTCAGCCTAAACTGGGCCTCCCCCATGAAGTCGATCTCGCCCAGGCGGTGGTGATCACAGACGACGAGTCGCAAGGTGTGTTTCAGCAAAGCAGCTGACTTCACGGTCGCCTCGAACGCTTCGCCGAAGAACGGATTACAAGTTTTTATCTGGACTTGCGTCTGAAAACGGAACTCGGGTTTGTCTGATAAAGATAAAAAGGGGTATTGGATTATTTAATCTACCTCCTTCCTGCAATCATGCAGTTACTATAGTGGTGGCCTAATTAAGAACTTGTCAAAAATAAATAAGACTTGAAGCTATGCATGGCGAAAGTACTAACTATGTGAAGTTTGCGGTGACACCATGTAATCAAATTCTCTCTTTGAGTGTGTGTGGTTCTGAAAAGAACCGGGGTTCACTCGACGTTTCGAACAGTGTGCTCTGTTCGTCTTCAGGAGAAAGAGTGCCGAACTCTGGAGTGTGTGGGGCTTAAGTATTTTTGTCAAAAATAGCAAGAGCATATTATTTTTCCCCAAATGCGGCAGAGCCCTTGCAGTTGATACTCGATAATAGATCCTTCAACATGGCAAAGAACAGTTGAAAAACGTGTAATGCAATCCCTTTATAGCCTCAGTTTGCACTTCTCCCATTAACACCCCCTCCCGGAGCAGAGAAATACCTAAGAACAGAGAAGAACCCCGTATCATGAGAACTTTCTCAGTGGTGTTCCGCAACGAGTGCAGAGTCACTGACCTGTACCACCCTTGAGCAGACTGACTTTGACGTATGGACTTGGCTCTCCCCCAAATGGCCTCGGCTTCAGATCGCAGGCCGAAATCTCGTCCACTATCAGGTTTTCGTTCTCTTTATCGTAAGACAGCGAGAACGAGATGGATCCCAGGGTCCCAGGCTCCGGAATGACCTCGGGGACTTGGAGGAACTGGATTTCGCCAAGAGGCGGCAAGTCGGCCGACGTTTGGGACAAAGAGCGTTTCAGTTCCCGCTTTCGCGGCTGGTGTCGGAGACCCTGCAGACAGAAATCAGTAATAGATCTCTTGCTCAGTGTGGTGGAAGATGAAGTAATATTGCTTGAGTCCAGGTCGGACATTAATTTTCATTCAACTAAGCAGACAGAAGAGACTGAACCTGTATATGCTGAACGGACCTTTAAAGTGCCGTAACCCTCAGAGCCACTTGAGGACAGTGAGGTCAGGCTTCGGCTGCTTTGCTTCGCCCATTTCTTCTCCTTCGACGGTATTTCCTTTGGCAAATGGCGATGAGGGGAAATATCCGCAAGCTCCTTGTCGTCACTATCAGACGGTTCGCTCGACTCTTCGGAACAGGAAGAAGAAAAAAACATTATTTTTTTCAATGAAAAACACTACCGCCGTGGACTTCACCCCATTGAATGGCGTTTGGAGTCAAAGTAAGTTCGTACTTATGAAAGACATCACTCTGTTCAAATGAGTGCAGGGTACACGGTTAGTGTATGTGGGACTTTGAGAGAAAATGTACTGGAGGTGGATACTCTTTGGTCCTTTCAGTGTTTATGGTACTCAGCGGCATGTAAGGGCTAATTAGCGTGGGCGAAATCCATCCAAGCGCTCAGAAGTCCTCTCAACAAAATGTAACAACGGTCTGAAGATCAAACTATAGATTGTAGTCAGGAGAGAGCTTTATGCGCCATCGTTTCTATAAGCTTAGCCACAGTTTCAAATCTTGATTTTCTCTGAATTCCGAGCATGGACTAGAGGGGAGGACAGCAACTTCACGGAATGGCGGTGCACGCGCACGTGCGTGTCTCCGTGCATTGTAGACACGCAACAGTTTTTCTGTTAAACTTGGGTAACCAAAATTTGCTTACTTGAAAATATCTGTAGAAACGATTGCCCATTGGTTTAGTACTAAGCACTTGCACAACAATGAATCCCGGAAGTAAAGGAAATTTAGGCCCTCAGAGTAAGCAACATCATTTTAAGCCACAGCCAAGTAATTCGGGACGTCCTGACACTGAGGGTCATTCCTGAAGGATGACATCACAATTTTACTCATGAATATGGAAATTCGCTAGCAAAAAAACCCCAAATTACCCTCTAAACAGCAAAATAACAATTGAAAACAACCCTCCAATGGAGATATAAAGACGCGTTTTCAACGGGTTGCACTGAAAATGCATTGCACTTGCTCGTCAGTTACCTCCATTTTTCTTTTTCCTCCTAGAAAGGCACTGGCACAGCATTATGAGAATCAGGACCATCAGACCAGCGCCCAAGACGGCACAGATGAGTAGTTTGATCCCCTCTGGTACGTCATCCCACGCCATGGTGCAGACAGCGGCTACTGGTTACGTCGCTGTCGAAACGGGAGACATGCCAGTCAGTGAAAAACAAATTCAAGTGAAGAAAGGCAGACAGCGTTGTAGACCAACAGAGATTGAATTCTGTCAGTGTAGACAGATGTGAAATCAAATGTGGACTAGGGAGGGTTAAGTCATAGCCTTCTCCGATCGTTTCCTTTGTTTGGGGAATAATGAGGAAATTGAAGCTTTCCCACATAGTTCGTGATAGATCAGTGTTATAGTCGACTCCTGCAAGTCCATCACAAGTCGTCCAGCCAACTCACAAGCTATTTGAATGAACCGTGATAAATCAGTCCGTTGTCATCGTTGACCTTATCATTCCTTTATCATTGTTCACTTATTACTTATGAATACTTTTGTGAAAGGACTAACATATGATGGACTTGTCTGACAACAACTCTGATTCTATGACTTGTAAAGGCCCGACACGGTTCAAACAGTCAGGCTTGAATCCTGTTCAAACACTGTTCATCGCTGCAACACAGTGCCGTATATTTACTTCTTCTAAGCAAACTATTTACAGAGGAACATTTTCAAAATATAGTAGGCCGTACTATTATGTGCGTGTGCCGTCGATCACACTGCAGATTCCTGACATGCATACGACTTGCCTTTCATTAGGTGCATGAGTGTCAAAGTGCTGTCTGCGAATAGAGATGAGTTTAAAATCGCATTATAGCCCTCTACAATGCCATTAATTTGTCGTAGCTCACAAAAAGCTTATTTTCCTCCGACTGCTAATGGGTCTAGCAGGGTATAGAGTTTCCAATAATATAACACTAAGGGCATCATTTTTACAGGAACCCCAGGGAAGAAAAACTGGCAAAAAATAAGGCTCATCAAAGGCGTTTTCTACTTTTTGTATAACAAACTGCTTCATATTGAAGCGTAGGCCAATGTAAACATATCCACCTCACTGAAAACTCGACAGTAGGTCCCAGACACACTCATGCATGAGGTAGGCATACGATAGAACGCTGGACTGACGTGGTTCCATGAACCAGTTCTGTACGAGCATCACTTTCCTGTTAATGTCTTACATTTGGATCAGAATTCTCGACAGAACGTCCAACCTTACAGCGAGACTTTGCCAGTGTCAAATATGTTTGTTTTCGGAGACTCGACACGCCCCTCTGTGTTACCGTACCGTCACAGGGGTCGAAGATCGCAGGGTGAAGAACATTTCCCTTTCTAAAACAGATACATTCAGAAGGAACATGGACACAGAAAGGGGGGGGGGAGAAAGGTTTGTAGAGATGTATAAGTGGTCCCCCAAGGCCTTTGTTCCCTTATAATGCATGGCGACGCTCATGAAATTGAAACTTATCGAAACACAATTTTTTTACTCTCTGAAGCAAGACTCGAATGTTGGACAATTACAGTAATTCACCCTCCCACGTTTAAAAATGGGGGCCGGGGCAAGGATTTCACGTGCGACTCGTACGTGTTTTTCGTTACCTCCATCTGGCTATATCTGGCGACGACGTTGTACGTATTTGCACTGGTAGCTCACGATGCCTAAACCTTACATTCACGACGTATTAATTGTAATTATTGCGGTTTATAATAAACCGGCAAGGTCATTGATATTTCTGAGCCGCAATACCACGTATTGACAGCTTCTATTCGACCCACAGGCCTATATAACCAAGGCTTCAAGTACCAGCAAGGGATAAAATTATTTTGAAAAAAGTTCCCCGTTAAGTATAATTCAAGCGTCATTCGTTTTTAACGAAGCCCTCTCTGTTAATGAAGCGCACCGTTTGTTTGTGTTCTTTTAGAAACCAAGAGACTGATTTCGTTGGTTTGGTTTGGTTTGGTTTTTGCTTGGGGCGTATTTTTGTACATATGTGTACATGTACATTATTTTGTCAGTGGCGTTGAAAGTCGGGGCAAGTATATATTCTTTTGTCAATTCCCAATAAAATTAATCTTTTATTTTCGTCAGTAGGTTTTATTCTCAAACATAAATGTCATTTTGCTCGGGTATACTGTAACCTTGACACGAATTTGGACTGGGCATTCATGCGTTGTTAGTGTTTAATAATAATTACGTATATTCTCGTATGCATGTTTATACTCTCGGTTTTTTAGTTACAACTTCGACAGAGGCAGTTAGTTTCAATGTCGAACTGCATTTCATTGCACACGACAGTCGTAAGCGCATTCAAATACTTAAGACTGCATATACAATGCATACAAACCTTCTTGAAGACCTGTTCTTCCAAGTTTCAAAGCACTTATTTTAGTCACAGTTACAGTTAAATTTTAGACAACAAGCCCATTTTGGCCGAGCTGTTGAACACTGTAGGTTTGCGTCCAAAGTTCCTTTTGCTGTATATTGTCTGTATATCATGACGTTTATAGCCGGCTTTGGCATACAAAGTCAATTTTGGTGATCACTCCGCAAATCTGTTGCAAAATTTAATCAATGGTGCCAGTCTAATGCCGTTGGCGTCTGCTATCACAGACGCACATTGTAAAACTCGCGGTGTCACACCATCAGTATACTGCCATGTTTGTATTGTTCCCTGTATCCCCTTGGCAAGAGTAATACAACTCCGCATACTGATAAAAGGGAACAGAATATTATTCCTCCAGCCTCAGTTTGGTTACATTGCCTTGACTGGTAGAAAAGCATGATGGCTGTCCCATAATGGAGGTCTATGATACTGAGGTTGTTAAATCCGTGGTTTCTGCAGTTCAAGCACTGGCGTCACAAGAGGGGGAGGGGATGCTTAAGCCCAACAAAAAGAAAGTGAACAATAAAAGAGAGTAAAAAGGGGTGGGAAATCGAAAGAATTTTTTTAAGTGAGAGGGGTAAAAATCGCCAAGTTTATAATACCGAAGATAGACCCAATTCCACTGTTAATGGTTTATTAAATGATTGTAGCTGATACTTAGCTTCCCTGGAATTTTCCCCTGGAAATAAAAATGGTTTGCCCTGAGGCAAAAATCCTGGGGACGTCCATGAGTTCAAGTACCTGAACTAAACATGATGTTTTTGTAAAGAGGTTTTCAAATTTAAAAAAATGAAAAACGAAAGAAATGAAGACAGCAAAGAAAAAAAAACACACATTTTCATCTCTGTAACTGTATCACCATAACAGAATGAATTATGCAAAAAGATGCCAGCATAATGACAGGACTAATTTCTCCAGGAGCCGCTGATGTATACTGACATTGTCATCAACTTTTATGATTGGTGTTACAGAATTGGCTAATTACTTAACAAACGCGGAAAGAGCCTCGCCGACACACTGATATCTGACGGAGTGCATAATGCATGGCCCATCTCCCTAATTATTCCATCGGGTAGTCATATCGAGTTTCCATGCGGGCTGGTAGATGACAGTAGGCCTATTTGGCCTTCGGTGGGTGTACAGGATGGACAATGTCTTTTCTTGCTTTGATAATTTTATGAGGGCATGGGTACCAAATATGACTTCCGATTGTGATCATGTGGAAGGACATCCAGAACAAAATAGGGGGGGGGACATTGTTCGGGGGATCCACAAATTTGGTAGTTTTTGTGTAATTCTTATAACCTTTCTGAATATTGAAGCTAAACGAAACAGTCTCGCAAACTTCCTCTCTCTCGTTTTGTTTTTCAAACCAAAAAGCCCATGGCGCTTGGTCTTGCTGGCCAGTTTTGGTTAATGTAATAAAGACCTATCCAACATTCAGGACGGTTTTGCTCCACCAAAACGACTAAGTTTATTCTCAAATGCTACTTTAGGCCTAAGTGCAAATTTAGAGGTTAGGTTTAAGTTTACAGAGTTTTAAGTTTACCGATTGGAATGTCGAGCTAAAAATGTTGTATACCTAATTTCTGCTCCCCAAAGCAAGGGTTACCGTCTAGTGCATTAATTACAATGCCAGTTCACGTCTTAAATGCTGAGTTGAGTCGAGTCAAAAGGGCTTAGATTTCAGAAGAGAAGACGGCATACTCTCCCTATCCCATGCAGACACCTTTTCATCGGGGGTGAGCCATGGAATACCGCTCCCTGTGCGGTGGGGATCGAAAAATGTCGATTTTTCTATCAGCACTCTTCGTGAGCATCGTTATCATGCACCAGCTTTTTACTTTACTGTCGCTTTTGCTGATTTCATGATCATACCTCCTCATGTAAACCGACGTTCTAGGCCAATCAGGAGCACCGCTGACCAATGAGGCCCCTTTAGTCTTCAGAAATGGCGGTGAATGTTCCACAGGGAATTTGAGCACGTGAGATATGGTCATTACATGCAGTCGTCAGTATTTCTGTCTACAGGTCCTTCAGGTTGAAGCGATTTAAACAACAAATGTAATGGGTGATGGAAATCGTTCAGTGCGGTAACTCGGCTGGCATATGAAAGCTTGAAAGAAGTTTAATGCCTGTGTAAGTAACGTGGGATATTGGCTGATTTACTTTTTGTCACGCTGCTGCACGCAAAATATCCCTTGTTGTCAAAAGCATTCAGGTATAGCTGTGTGGCGACTGAAACGGGCAAATCGAATGGCGCATTATCATAATACAGTTTTTTATGTCGGCCATGCCATGTTGTTCCGTGGATGGCATTGCCGCCCGCCGGGGGACAGATTTTATGTACTGCGAATTCCATTTCCACCTATATACAGAGCGGCAGGAGTTGTAAGCGGTGAACATTGTATAAAAACAATTGACACCTTTTCATTGTCAAGAGAATCAAAGATCCAGAGAATTCATAACATACTGTACCTTTTTTATGATTTCGACGACGAATATTGCCGCCTATAATGACACGATTCCTTCTTCAGGTGGCAAACAATCCTGAACTGTTATGCATCCCACTTCCATCTGTTGGCGTCCTCTTACGCAAAAATTACAAAACAGTGTTGTGCAGTTGTAATGGGTACAAAATACATTTGTTTTCCCAAAATAAACACAAAAAACATGAACAGCTTGCGTTTTCGTACTGTTACACGGAGCTGGAAAGTCATGTACATGTATACCGTTGCCGAAGCCACAGCACAGGTAGTGTGAGGGAATGGCACTACTATACAGTGGAGACTCCGTTCGTGCGGAACAGTGGAAACATGAAAATAAAAGAACAGATCCTGCTGGCCCAGAGTTTGTTACAGCCTGCAGAAATAAAATGAGAAACCCTAGAGAAAATTGAGCATATGGTACTGGCTGCATGCATGTCAGGTAGGCCTACGTAAATTTGCATAGCGTTTGCGCGCGCAGACATTAGACCAAGCAAGCTAGTATTTTGATGGTACCATGTACGCGTGGTGTTATGATAATGCACATGCAGTTTGTGGGTGTTCAGCGACATGAGGAGCACTCTCGATGCACAAGGGGTTTTGAAAGCAATTAGGACTCGGTGATTTCCAAACAAACGCTGAGAAGCAGAATGCATCAACAGTGTGTTTACTATCGATATCGTGCGCCTACGGTGTGTTGATATTTTGCTCGATGCTTGACGGTGGAGCAGATGTGTTATCTCCCAAGACCAGTAGTGCACGTGTATCCTGAAACCAACAGCGCCAGCAGTATGGTAGCAACAGCAGCAATACCACCACCGCATATTTGCAACAACGGCAGCATCAACTTCCACGTCGATTAGGCCTGAGGCATCAACTTGTAACTGCTCATTCAAGAATGTCAGGAACACATTAATACCAAGTTTATTTTTCACTCCCTCCACGTACATATCACTATCGTCAACCTAAGCACCACTTCGTACAACATCTCCAACTCCCCCCACCACCACCACCACCATCACCATATCCGCCGCTATACACAGCCGCCGCCACGGCCACCGCATCATCTTATTTCTCCCACCATCCCAAAAGTTGTCCATCCCTAATTTCCCCACGACACTATAACTAACACCAACCATCCATCACCATTTCCACCATTGTTCGACGTCATCTACGAATTCCCCACCAATAGCTTTAGTTTGAATAACTTTTAGAAGAGGCATTTTAATAATTCCACTCGTCTTTCATGTGGCTGGCGTTAGTCATGTTCCATCGGTCTCTACATACAAACTAGGAGCCAGAAACTATCATCAAACATACAGCACATGAAACATTGATTCCGATCACACATGAAGTGTAACCTTAATGTTGGTAATAATCAAGTATAGCAATGCTTGGCTCAGACACTGTTACAGTGGAAGAAAAACTCTTGTTAGAAAGGTAATGTAATTCCCTCCTAGCCCATTGCCTGTATTTTATTTCGATAACTGTACGAGGACGTACGCTGGAAACAAAAGAAACCAAGCAAAACCTTAGGGTGGGTCAACCACACTCATCATTCATGACAATAGTTCATGTGCCATGAGCAATTCTTTTCAACATTTTCATTTTTGAAAGACAACTTCACAGCGTGCGGTATGAAGCTGCCGGCCTAGATTTTTTCTCTCTCATTTCGACAAAACCCTCAATCTACGCCACCTAGGCCCTACAGTCCAGTTCCTGTAACTCGTGCTGAAACGACAACTCCCTCTCATTCTCTTTCCTGCTGTGTCTAAAACGCCCATTACGAGCAAAACACGATGCCAAAAGTACTGAACGAGTGGAAATTAACATACATCCAGGGGCGTAAGCCTTAACCATTTGCAAACGTAACCAGGTAAGCCTACGGCCTTGTGATTTTTTATGCATATTTGTATACGTATACATGTATAGAGAAATAGTAGCTGATTTTAAAACCTACACAGTACATGATTGATTTGCAAAATAGTTCCCATATTTACTCTACCAACATTTCTAACCAGCAGAGGCTTTACAAAGACATTTTGGTAATCATTGTTTGAGTGGTTCACATGTGGACAAACAGAGGATAATTGTCGGATATGACGTGCAACTACATGATATATAAAATGTGTTGACGAAATTACAAACATTACCGAAATACAGTGAATGAAAAAAGACCTGAATCAGCAAAGATCTTCTAAGGCCTAGCTTGGGTTAAGATATTCACTGATATTCAAACAAATTCAGATGCATGGCTATAAGTATAAGCAGCACAATTTTCATGCCACGCAAGTCTACATAGCCAACAGTCTCTGTACTGCGTCACGGTGCTCCTCACTTGCCAATGTATCCCTCCGCCGCAGGTATTCTCTGTAGTCCTCCATGTTCACATCGTCGTATTTACGAAGGATAACGTATTCATCGTTGATTTTGAACCCGTCGCATAGCAACAGATACCTGGTGTCATAATCTTTCACTTTTATCAGCCATCTGAAGCAAAAGCAAAATACAAATGCCAAAAGTTGATGGCGAATTGCATCTGTAGGGAGGGATATTTATTGTCAGTAAACACAACAATTCACAATCAGTTTAAAGTAAAAGTAATTGCTTTCGCTATATTTTTTTCCGGAAGCATGGGATTTTTTAAACGGAAGTAAGTTGCATAAATCCATATCCACCCTGTCAAGTCACAGTGACTGCACAGTTAGCCAAAATGTGTACGAGCTTGCATTTGTAGTGTATGAACATAATAATTCCACTTAAATTTGGCGTCATGAAATCAAATCTGCACTTGCCTGTTACTGACACCGGCTGTTCCTAAAATCACATTCATGTCGACAAACTGGATACTCTCGATGTCGTCTACAGAAACGGTGTGCATGGCCTGAATACCTCGGATGATGTCGCCGTGGGTCAGTTCCACTCCAGGATGGCTGAAGCAGAGCGTCAAAGGCGTCGGCTCCGGTGGGGCGGCAAAGAAGCGGATTTTCCGCAGCGCGAACTCGGGTGAGGCCGACTTGTGGTGTTTGTGGTGTCGGAATCGGCGCCTGCGTGGGGTTCCAGGTGATGGCTGGGTGTCACGGGATTTGTCTACGGCACTGGCATGGGAGTGTGAGCGACTGCAAAAGTGAGAGAAGGGGGGTAAACCAAACACCATATTAAACTTTCATGGGCCTTGGTGCCGGCTGATCTCTTTCACGAAAATGCACGTCATCGCTGGTAGCTACGCATAATGCTTTCAGTGAATGTACTTTTTATCCGTCGTTTGCAACCAGCAGCCGCCCCGATTATTCGATGAGGGCTGAAGGATTCAAGACGTCAACCTCCTGTGTTTCACTCCAGTAAATACATGTAATAGGTAAATGCAAACATCATTCTTGCCAGCCAGCTCGATTCGGCCTAAGTCAAACTTACAAACAAGGCCACCATTTGAATTAGGGTATACAGAACATGGTCCCTACCCGAATAGCCGGTTCTGAATCCGAGTTATCAGAGGCAATTTCACTTTGCCTTGCGGTCTCCCAGGCCCGCTCTCCGTCTTGGCTACCCCGCTGTGTCCAGCTGCCACGGGGGACTGTGTGACGCTGGTGCCCCTGATCTGCTTGGACGTGCCCTGGTTTTCGACGTTACACACCGGCACGCTCCTCGCTCCGGACCGCACCCCATTCTGATCCTCGTCCTCCGCACGGCGTACAGCGGCCTGAGTGAGGCGATTCCTGGAGCTTGAAATGGGCATCGCTCTGCCAGTGATACTGGGGAGAATAAAAGATGAGGCAGATGGCAATTTATTCATCTTGATTTCCCCTTGTGATGTCTACCAGTGCAATTTACACCGACAAAAATACCTCACCGTAAGCCGTCTTCACTATTTAGTGAATTGATGTCTGAATTTGGCGATAGAAAATCTGGGTCCAGTGCTACATTTTCAATGGGGCAGTTTTCTGGCTCTTGCCTTCTTTTCTAGTTTTATTTGGCTCAGTTCTCCTTTGTGAATACTCCTCTTCAACAATTATGACAATCATGAAGCTCCAACACGTCATCCCTTGGTACCCCTTTGCACTTCGGGAATTTCAACCTCAACAAAATTCAAAATCCTCCTCAAAAACCAGCTATGAAGCCATTTCTGAAAATGTGGAACAAAACTCGCAGTATTCCGAGCGAGGAGATCTGCGCAACTAGGTTGTCGTCGATTCGTGACTCACAAAATGCCAACACATGAGGTTAGATGGACCTGTCTCTGTATTTCCTCGCCCAGTGCCCGCTGGCTCTGTAGGAGAGGAGACTCTAGGCATGCAACAACAAAGGTGCTTATAAAAGTATCGTTGATTATAAAAGTGTCCAATGGCAAAGCGGGAAATTGATTCAGAGGCAGTGCAGCCTGTATTGTATTTCCCAAATTGAATTCAGCAAAAATTATTCCAATGAATTAAGTTCAATCAACCTTTTCCGTTTCGCGCTGTGTGATCAATGTTAGTGGAAGCGACTTTATTTTGCATGAAACACCTGCTTCTCTGCTCAGTATCGAGCAAGTAAAAATTTGTTTGAAATAATTATGCATATGGCTCCTACTGATTTACACTGTGCAAAAATTACTCTAAAGGACATTTTACGCCAAAGTGTCTCTGGCGACTTGTGACTTATTTTCACAGAGTGGGTTACATACACTGTCCTGGCAGACGTGGTCCGTTTTGTTCGTGTATTTTGAAATAAAATTTACACAAAATACCACATCGCAACATGCTCGCTCTTCTCAACTTTCCAAACGAGGAAGAGTGCCTGTGAACAAGAGTGATTGTGAATCACATTTTTGGCCTCAACAAAATAATTTGAAATGAGAAAAGCTTGAACTTACCCAGTTTATCTTATCTACACATCATTATCACTTTAGTAGAAGGTTTCCATATCTCTCAATCGCCATGATTAAGCAAATGGCCGTTGTTTTCTTCTGTATTCGAGAGTGCGCGTACTGGGTCAAAAAGTGCGCGCCACGCGCAAGGAGCGCTCACGCATGCTATCATGTTAAAACAATGCTTTTTCTGTCAGTTTGCTAAGCAGAGGAAATACCTACTTGCTTAGCAGGACTATAGGTTAACAGCAAAAATTTCATGCATTGCATAATGCAACTTGCTACCGGCTATTTTTCGCGAAGCACGTTTGCCAGATGAACAGCTCAATAAAAGAAAATACGGCCCCAACAAATTGAGAGTAGATCTCTCTACTGGAATTTCAGACGGTCCTTTTCAAGAACAAAACAAACCAAATCACACACACATACCCCTGTGGAATCGTTTGCAGGATATTTTTAATGCTTCGAACACTTTGTGTATTCTCTTATATCACACCAGTAACCAAATTTTCTGACGATCATTGAAGTTTTCCACACTGTAGGGTAAGAACGCCAAATTGTTTTCCAACTCCAAGTTGAACGATTTTACAACATAATTCTCTGAACGAAGCGTGGAAGTTGCATAAGTGTATTAATGCTACGCGACAACAGTAGCATAAAAACCAATTCATAGTACACCAGAAAACTACTGACCTGCTGTGTATGGAGAACAGCGAAATTCGTAAATATTGAACGGTTTCAAAGAACAAAATTCTCGTTAGTACGTATACAATAGGAAAATAAATTAAGGTGGGAATATTGTAAAATTGTGAACATGTCGCGGTAAACGTATTTTCGTCAGTGGCCAACTTGGTGCGAATGCAAAAGCGAATTATTATGAAGTCATTATTTGGAGTTTCAGGCGAATTACGCCCAACTTTCCTGTCGCGTTTGCAGTGCGATAATCATTATATTGACGGTGACGTCACATAGTTATTGCCGCTTGCAGTCCCTTTCACATGTATTCTCGTCTACCGCTACTGAGGTTAAAATCTAAAACGGTGGTTATAACACAACAATATAGAAAAAGTGTTCGCCGTGGCCGGACGGTATCCGACTTTTCGGACGTGTTGTCCTTCGGGGTGGCGCTAGTTCGCTGAAACGTCCGAAAATTCGGATACCATGAATGCAGGCCATGGTAGGCACGTTTTCAACTTTGCTTTATATCATTACACAGCGCCACGCAGCAGCACCTTTTTTATAAACCTAAAACCACGCCCAGCGGGTACACAACAATATTACCCGGATGATAAAGACGATGACATATCCAGCAAGAAATGAGACAGAGGGGTACCCCCCCCCAATATGTCCAACTGCTACATAAACTCTATACTAGTGTTAACACATCCCCCTAGATGTCTGAAAAGAATTCCTCAGATCCCTGTGAAACAATGACCAACACAGAGCGGGGAGGGGGGCGTTCTCTCCGTCTCGTATCTCGCTTCATTATGGTAGTTGAGGGTGCGCTTTTATAGCCTTCGCCCGAGCTACACATGTATAAAGAGAGGTACGACATTAGTGTCACCATTGTCGGAGACAAACTGGCAAGCGCATGAACCAGCGCATTTGGACAGTTGGTATACAATAGCCGCACGCTCAGCCGCAGACAATGAACAGCCATACTGCTTCAAAAATCTGAAGCTGGCGCTGCTCTCTCTGGGCCTGTTTGGCCGTGTTTGTTTCACATCTGGATCACGATCTGTGATCTGTCGTTGGTATACTGACACCAAAACTCGCCTAATGCATGGATGGTGCGAACCAGCGTGAGGATCACTGATCGAGATCCAAATGCGTGTTAAACAAACGGGCCCTTTGTGTCACGCGGATCCGAATCGCGATCAGTGAGGCCGTCGTTGGGTCATTGACATCAGAACCGTGTATAATGGATAGCCAGAACCAGTCCTTGGATCATCGATTTTGATCCAGATCCTTGTGAAACAAACAGACCCCATGGACAGCTCTGGCCTTCGTGGTTATTAAAGCTATTGCAAATTGTATGAGGTTGATCTGATGATCGTGTGACGTCCTCAGCAACTACCAAGCAGTGAATTCAGCAATGTAAAATAGATCTTTCCTTAAAGTCAACCATTAGGATAATTATTTTTTTTTAATTCAAAGCGATAGGAAATATATCAAATAGGCTTACTGTATCATTTGGGACCATTTGAGACCACTCAACACCGCGCCCCAAAAATCCTGAGATACCTATTAAGAACTGACATGTGGTCGATTGTTCAAACCCCTTTTCATCTCAATTTCTTCTCTGGCACGGTATGGAGCCATCTATTGACATTAATGTTAAAAGCAACCGACGCCGAAAACAAGGTACCAAAAATTAAGTTTGAGAAGTGGTTGTGACTGCCACCTATCCAATCTTGAAAAAAAAATAACTAAAACCGGCAGTGTTCGGATCAAGAGACTGGTCCGGGAGTAATTGCAACTTATGAAGAGTGGTTCAAGCCACTAACGCAGCAGCTTCCACGTCGTTACTAAACCAGCTGTGGCCAAGACTTAATCCGGACGCGGCCGGCCTATCATACACGGCGTCCTTCCTCCACAACTTCGCATGTGTGCACCCGTACGTGAGCACGCACTCAGCACGGTCCATGGCCGAGCCTGTCTGAATGGTGCTTGGTCGTTCGCGAGTCAGCTCTATCCAGTTCTAGGGTTGTACTGCTGATACACTCTCGTGTGTGAGTGTTCGCTGGTGGCTTCACGTTTTGTCAGTAGAAGCAAATGGTGTGCAAAACATCCCTGTTGCTCTCCCTCTCGAACTGCAGTATCTTTTCGTCGATGTCGTTCTCCAAGTCGTCGCAACCTTCCAGCTGCAAATTTGGCAAATGGGAGGAGGGACAAACAGAAAATGTAACTTTATGTAGTGTGAAAGTAGATGCAAGCTGCGTTAACAGACGATGACCGATGGAATAAGAACAAAAAGACCAAACATTGGCAACATTAATTTGCTAGAGTGGAACGTAGCCCAAGTGATGCAGTTCAATGTAGATGTTTTGAGCAAGGCCCAATCATTCAACAGGAACAGTATAAGAGCGGAGCCTGAGGCTTGCAAAATGTAAGAGGGCCAACGAAAAATATTATGGCCTATGAAAATGCAACATTATTACATAAAAACACACAATGTACGTCACAGACTTTTCAGCGTCCTTTGAATTTCGGTTTTCATAAAGCTTTAAACTTAAACAGCTGTTAAATAGTGGACCTAGGGTGAAGATGACAACCCTGCGTGTAGGACCTACGAAACATCCGACCCCAACTTTCAGACAACGAGCTTGTTGATCATAAATCACAGGCAATGTGCCCAAGGAGACCAGAACTTACGGCTGCCAAATTTGAGACCCTATACAGCACCACTGGGTTTTATTATGCGACGTGAAAACAACTTCAACCACGCCCACTCGTTCAGGTTTGTTCTTGGTGGGTGGGGGGAGATGGTTTGCTTACAAGTTGACAGAGTTTCAAGATGACAAATGCCCCTAGCGTTGCCTCTTCGTGGTTGTCCACAATTTCGATGTTGATGACGTGCACGGGTTCTCCTGATTCCTCTTCCCTAGAGTTAAAGTCTGCAAACCACGTGAATAATGAATTCAGTCACATCAGTTGATGCCCAAATTGCTTACTTCATGTAAAATCTGGGATATTTTTCCCCTTTCCTACTTTTTAACTTTCCTTTTCTGTGCATTTAAAACGGCCAAGACAGAAGACTTTTCTAGCCTAGAGTGACTCAAGTGAACCAAAAAGGAAACTCCGGATATTAAAACCTTTAAAAGCGACTTAAACAGAACCTGCAAAAAGGAAAATACTCTTCATTTTAATCATCGCTTTCTCTGGTCAGTACACCATAGCAGGATTAAGCATGCCAATATGAGAAGAAAGTGGCCCTAGAGAAAGGGAAGAGTGGGGGTACCCAAGGATCAAATGTCTTTAATTTGCAGGGTTAGCTTTCTACAATCAGAGACAGACGAATAACTGCTTCAAACCGCATACTACAACGGAAAACTGTCTTCTGTTCTCTGCAATGCTTCTAACCAAAGTCTTCGTTTTGTAACATTTGTAACAATTTGAGCGAAAGCAAATTCCTCTTAGTCTGACCTTCTAAAACCTGGTCGTAGACTCTCTCCTCAGCCGTTACCACCACGTCGAACTTGTCCTTGCAGCTTTGGAATCTCTCCGGCCGCTGCTTGATGCGTCTATTCCTGTCCAGCATCGAGAGAATGCCGTTCCGTGTGTAGCTGAGTTTTGGGTGAGGCTTAATTAAGGAAAGGTTCGGCACAATCGAATATGGATCCATCGCACGAAAAATAAATCATACAGTATTAATATCTCGCCCTCCCATTCACCTTTCACACCTTCCACTCGACCTTTCACGCCTGCGTGAATATCAAAATTGGCTGAGTCGAACACCTAACGCATGCGTGGAACACACTGGGTTACGTTTGTGGCCGAGACGCGGCACTACAAGACGTGCATGCGATGCTTGGCGTTATACCCCCGTGTCCCACGAGCGTGCAGTGCAGAAACTGTCCTGATTTCTTGGAAAAACCTTGCCACTTTATAATTAAAAAGTCATAATAATCAAGCCGACAAAATACTGTCCAATAGTCAATCAATTGTCCGTTTACTATCGTCTGTCTTGTCCTGTACCGTAACCTTTCATTCAACATCCTCGTGCTACGTCAGCAGAGATTATGAGAAAGCTGATATTTAAGCATGCATTCCGATGGCTCTAATTCACCAAAAGTGTGTGGGAAAAGAATGCTCAGAAAACAGACTTATTTCTGTGTAAACAAAGTTTTGCCTGCAGAAACAATACCGAGTCAATGATTATGCAATTTGGAAGACCAACAGGTTGGGGCTTGATTTCTTGGGGGGGCACAAAGGTTGTTATCCTTTCCATATTCTGAGGACCCATCCTCAGATAAGGAAGCCATTCGTGTCAGCAATCGCACAGGCCAAACGATAGCAAGTCTGTTCGCGCATGGCTCGCGCAAGCTGACAACATAGGGGTTGAAAAGTTTTTATTGCTCCGATAGGACTCCTTAATCACACCTTTGCTTACTCACACAAAAAGGTCGAATGCGGGAGAGCGGTTTATAATTGAGCCTTAGGTTAGTTATGAAGGATGATTTACGGTTATGATAATAACCGTCGAAATGTGATTTTTTGAAACTATTATAATTTTTGAAAACTACCCAAAAACATGAAGGATAGCAACTTGGAAAGTTGCCAAGGATTCGAGGACGATTAGGTTAGTTGGAAATGGCAGGTGGAATTCGTGGCCTTGAGGGGTAGACTTCACAGACTAGTGTGACAATTATCCGAAACTGATTTTCAGGTAAACGTATCAATCAATAACGAGTGGCATTTGTATTTCTTTTTTTTTTTGTGGGTGGGGTTGTGCAATCCTTGTGGAAAAAGGGGGCCCAACCTACTTTCCAATTTCGGGGCCGTCACAGCGGGTCCATGACAAATATTGGTTTGGTTTGTTTTGCTTTCGGGGGGGGTATTAATTTATGGGGAAAATATGTTTCAATTTCTTTATTATGACCTTTCCGGGGATAAGCTATAATATCTGAGAGCCTTTTACACGCTTTTGAGAGGAAGGGAAGTGAAACAAAATCTCTAATCAGGGGCGGATCTAGGAATTTTCCGGAGGGGGGTCAGGAATCCTTTTAATGTCTCATTTTGAAGACAAGCGGAAACGATGATGAAACATTATGCACTATTTACATTACATTGGTGCGCTTAGTTGAGTTATTGTTTAAATCACCCCCAACCCCTTAATTTTTTTTGCGGGTCTCAGAGCGGGGGGGGGGTAGACCCCACCCTCCTGGATCCGCGCCTACTAACGTCGCTTTTTTGTTACTGTTGAAAAATTGTTCGGGGTGGACAAACCAGCAATAAGGTCAAGAGAAACAACTGTGAATGGATAAGAAATGGCGTAAGGAAATATGGGAAGACACGAGGGTAAGCATTTGAAACAGCAGGTAAATTTAACTACAAAGCAACACACAAGGGAAAAGAAACATAGAGATATATCAGACATCAAAAACTGTGAAAGAACGAGTACCATGGAAGCTGTTAATTTGCAGTGACAGTAACAAAGGGAAGCACAACAAAAATGAAGGTTGAAAAGTAATGGCGGGTTTTAGCGGTGGGGGTTGATATAATTTCCATCCCGTGATTAATCCTGCGATCAAGCTGTCTTTTTCTTTTACAACCCTTTGTTTTGAAAAGGTGGACGGGCTAACCTCTTCCCATTCCCCCAAATCGCTAAACTGTCCCCTAATTCCCGTTTCCTTTGCATTTTTTGGTTTTTGAACCAATCCTTGCAAAAGAACTTTTATGGCGAGTCTAACCACATTCGATTTTGCTACCGTCTGCTGTCCGTCCCCCCATCCCTCTTTTTTTTTTGGGGGGGGGTAGGTCTATCATATGGCGGTCCTGTACAACCACTAGCTTTTAAAGAGCAAGCCTAGCCATCTTATGTAAGAATAAAAAAATACTACCCCTCCCACCCAAAAAGGTTTGTGCGGAGAGATTCAAGCAACGCTGCGAAAAACGTTGTTTGCTCGAATTCTTTGTATACCTTGCTGAAGCAGCGATTGTCAACAGGGAGTCATGCATCATTCTGCAGGAAGCAATGGCGTGGGGGGGCGCAAGGTCCCCCAGTGTACCTCTTTTTTTAAAGGAATGAACACTTCAGAAACAGGAGAAGCATCTTCGTTTGAAAGGTTCTTTTATGGATTAAAAATGTTGACACGAGACAAAAACCCCACCTCGCCCTTAACTTATCTAGGCAACAACTATAATTTGTAACAATTCAATTTGTGTCGACATATATTATTTACAATTGAGCAAAATTTAATACGCGTATCCTGGTAAAATGCACACAAATTGTCTCAAAAAATTAGCATTTACGTTATGTCCTTAACACAAAAAGTGGCACAATAAAAAGAAAGTTGCCTTACTTGTTCACGTTATCACTCCTGAGGCAGTTCAAATTCAGCAAGGTAGTTCGTGGTGAACACCATGTGCAGGCCAGGCCAGCCGCTCCACGTACATTGAACGCCTATTGACACATGTACATTCTATTGTCACATGTGCAGGATAGGATCCACCAGACCTGACTTTCGCTTCATGTCACATCAGTCAATCACCACGCTCGTCCCCAATTAATGGTAGTCTGCCGCTGGTGGTTCCGGGTGAGCGTCCTTCACGGAATACAATGGGTATCAACATTTCGGGACCACGGTCTCGAGTGGCAATTATTTCAACAGGGGTTAATATTTGAAACATTCAAGTATCTTCATATTCATGTCTTATTTTTTTACAGGATTAAACTGGGAAAAGTAACACAGTGATGAAAAATGGGCATTTCTGTTAGTTTTACCGGATTTATGCGATTCAACACCATTCACGAATGTCGCTCATACCTTAACAGCATTTGTCAGAGACTCCATTAAAACGAAGGATCGGATAAAGGCGTGTAGTCATCATCTTTGGATCTACATGTAAAGCATCAGGTCAACCTTTCACATATGCTCAATTTCAACATTCGACTCCGGGATGCGCATGACAAATCACAATGCGTGTACCAGTACATGTAATTGCTGCCATACTGTCATCAGCCGGATATGACTCCCTCATAATGGGCCATTAATGAGGGGGGGATGCGCATTTATCCGTCATTCTTACAGCTTAGTCGGTGTCCGACTCACTTGACTGCAGTCGGAAATTACAATGCCTTCACTTGAATAAAATCGGTGGTTTGTCTCAGTGCAGACGTAACATCAAGTCGCCCATTTCAGATTCTTTTTATAATTTTCAAAATTCCATCTCACATTTTTCTTCCCTATTTAGAACGTACGATTCCCCCGTCAAGGTTTACATAAATGTTACACTTACGGTAGAGCGACAGCGTGTAAGGGACGAAAAGCGAGAACCCACTATAAAGTGGTGTCGAAAAGGTCATTTTTATTTTTCTGGAGACGGCTATACTTCCAAGGTCAAGCTTCATGTCATACAGAAAGCTGGTTTCCTCATGTCAGTTCTCATGATGCATTAAATTTAAAGAATCGTGAGATTAAGTGTGGAAGTTGCAAACTATTCATAACTGCACAGAATGGTAGCAACCGCTGTTGGCAAAATTTCCCTTTATTGTAGAACTAAGAGAGAGATACATCGGCGCACCTGTACAACATATTGGAAGTTGAACCTGGAAAATCTCACGTTGCTTTTTTTTCATGTAAAACACGTTCAGTGAGATCGAAAAATCCGCTCAAACTTTTCAGGAAACCAGCTTTTCTCCAACCACAAAGTTATGACTCATTGGTCAATAGATATTTCTCATCTTCCACGGCATTTTATTTCGGTTAAATTTCAACTCGTGCAAAAAATTACAATTGTACCAAATCAAATTGTCAGAGCATCCTAAGCCAGAGTCCTGTACTAGGTCCCCTCGTTTGTTCTAAAACGCCTTGGGGACTACTAGTAAGGCACTGCGGCATGAACGATGGGCCATTTCGCAGTACTTGAAGTGCTTCGGCTGCGTTTGCAAAGCAGGATAACCCTCCTTTTTAAAAACTTAATATGCACTTTACGTGTCCTTCACCCAGCTCATAGGTATAGAACGCAAATTCATTGGACACAATGTATAATCATCAAAAGTGCGAGACTAGTTTCAACAAACGCAACCCCGCCCGTATGGCTATTTGCAGCATGATTCAACTACCGAAAATGACCCAGTGTCGTTAATGAGGAAAGAAAACCATTAGAGAGAAAAGCAGAAAATGAAATCACATGTACAGTATCTGTATCTACTTCTTTTCTATTGTGTTCAGCCGAGCTCTTTTCTGTTGGATGTCTAGTTTCTGCTAACAAAATAATGAGGTCGCATCTGGTTTATGGGATGTTAAGAAAAACGACACCTCGTGGTCCAACGATTCAACGTTTCACGGTGGAAGTGAAACAGCGTTTTGTGAAGCAGTGGGATCAGTCATGTCATTGACAGGGATGCATTGTCACAAATACGCATTTGCATGCAGTGCTTCTTCACGGCTACTTCCAGGCACATGATCTCTCCCAATTCACCCCAATATTTCGGAACATTCGGATTTTTATTAGCCCAACTCTCAGAACCAGAACCAAACCTCAATTTGCAAAGTCCACTACGATTACTGCAGTGCTGGGTACCTGCAGCAACCCCATCATTGAAGACAGGGCTCAAAGCCGTACTTACCTTTCTGCTGATGAATATGCATTGTTACATATATGCATAATTCATGAATTTACGCATGTACACTACAGCATCCCAATCTCTGACTGAAGAACAAGACATTACGGTTCAGTTTGTCTGCCTGTCTACTTACCATTCGGCTCTACCCACATCTTCTCGTTTCTCATTTGGATTTCTTTCACTAAAGAGCCTTAAAATTGCATGGACAACTGAATTCATGAGTCACTGTTACGTCGCTTCCGGTCTCTGCCTTTGCTACATATTCAATTGCCGACATGTTTTATCAGATTTTCCAGTGAGATATTCCCCGTATGTAAGACTGCTTTGACCTTTACATAACTAAGGTTGAGGTCTCCAATGCCAGTCAAAAGTTGCCCAAGTCAAAAACCTCTAGAAAAGTGCAGTGCAAAAACTGGAGTGACTACACGTATGTGGCGCCGTCTCAGTAGTACCCTTTGAAAACAAAGCAGGACTGAAACTAACATGGAGTTTTCCACCGAAGTTAGATGCAAATATATGTTGACATCACTCAGGAAGAAAAAATGTAAAAATAAATGCTGCATAGAGAAACCATAGTAATGTGGGGGTACACATGCCTAACAATAGCTTCAGTGAGGGAAATGTTTTGTCTCCACAACTTGATCCCGAATTTCCTGGCAAAAGAAATCGTATCTTGAAATGCAACAATGGCCAGGGCACATATTCTTACATTCAGTCTCTGTCAGTCAGTGTACATATAACTGTTAAGCTCTCACTGTAACACCCATATCAATACATGCATTAACATCGGGGACACCCCATACACACCCACACACACAAAAGAAAATTGAGTGTGAAGCCATCAGGCAAGGCTTCATGTGGCAATCTCAGTTGCCATGGATACAGTTGTTTGTCTTTGCTTTCCAGATCTCTGTACATCTCTTCATAGGTTGTCTTAAAGTCGTAGATGTTTGGTTTGTCTGGAGCCGACCCAGGGAGTTTACAGTTTGCACCAGTTCCAAACGACCGCACGTTGTAGCCTTTTTTGCTGGAGGAAAAACAAACATAACAAAGATATTCCATTTCAACATAGCTGGTATTACATTTACACGTATTTGATGTTTAATATAAAACTAAGGCAATGACTGAAAATTGCCTGAAGTACTAAAATTAGGCCATTTATAGCTTTCCAACAATTGACTGATTACCGTCAACATATATGTAACACATGTACAGTACATTGTACTTGGTTTATAGTAACGGCACAAAACTCCCCCAGAGTGTTTTGATTCTAATGACACAGACTTTGCAAGTGGAGCCTGATCTCACATCAATCAATCATAACAACTTTCTTAAAGACTCAAATCATTAGTGTGAAAAAATCTTTGTTTTATACATTTGCTGCAAGTAGCACATGCACAGTACATGTGGAAAAAATTCCTGTCTGACTTTTGCGATTGTCTAGTTTCATAAACATAGTTTACAATTGTGTTAGAGACAGTGCTCTTGCTGTCCCTGAGGTACAGAAACACATTTTGTTCCGAACTTTCCCCAGAATGTAAAAAGTCACCCACTTTTTTAACTTGGTGTTTAAGGACCTTGAAACATGAGGAGACCAGATGGAGAACTTCTTACTAAGGCTTATAGACATACATAAGCATATGGCTGGCGCGGACATCCAGAACTCTCGCAAAATGGTGGGTAGTAACCGATCAAAACAGCAACCATGGCGACGTGTGCGTGCCTCTGCCAGTCAGAGGATCGGATTACACAATAATTTCTTTGATCATTGGCAGTGCATATGCACGGCAGTGCGATTTTGTGAAATTCCCGCATGTCCGCGCTGCCCCTAGTCTTACTTGAAAAACATTTGACCATGCTGCAAAGTGGAGATCTCAGACTGAAAAAGGTGCAGAACAGGGTCACTGCCCTACATACATGTAACTTGTAAAATTATTACTAGGAATGAGAGGACAACGGTTTCAATCGAAATTGTTAAGAATTCATGTACTTTGTTGGACGTGTGATGTGTTAGGGAAGACTGTAACCACCACTGTGCCCACCTACCAGACATCACACTTTCGACTTGTGGAAATCAGAAAGGATAACCCTATTCACGTGATTTGGCGGAAACTTAGAACTTCAAAATGGACCCGGTACATGATGTAGCCCTTGCATGCCTAGGCATACAGCTGTAGTGTTAATGACAATAATTGCTTGCTTGTGCAAATTCACTGACAGCATTTTTCTTATTCCTCAAATGATTCTTTTCTGTATTTTAGGTCATATGAACTGAGCATGCTGTGACATGTATGAATGGGACCGGGAACAAATTTGTACAAGGTCTAAATTTTCGCCAAAACAACACAGTGACAGTGTTAAATGATGTGCGATACCTTAGTACTGCGTGCGCTTCCATACTTCTGTTCTGATTACTCGAACAAACCACTGCAACTCTCAACTTTCCTGACATTTTCTCTGCGTTTGAGTCAAGCAATTTGTATAAATAATACATGAAACAGATGAACAACAGTTGCACTTTCCAGATTCTAGTAACACATACAGATCAGTAGTAATAAGGGATCGATGTGAATCGATGAAAAACGGCTGACAATCCGCAACTGCCACCGTGTATTTTTATGTAGTTCCACAGTATACAGTTCACGCGCGTGCGCAGTAGCTAATAGGTAACAGAAACATTTATTTCGGCTTCTTTCAGGGTAGTACAGTAATAATACAGACATAATTCTAAACAAATATTTCAGGTTTGGACGTGAATAGTCATTAATTTCATATAAAAATCTGAACCAAAATCTGACTTTACAGTATTTTAATGGTTTAGGAAAGGAAATTTTTCTCAAGGCTATTTTAACCAGAACAGTGCGAGAGTCCTCCCCTTAAAAAAAGTGAAATGTGCCAAGCAAAAAGCAACCGGTGCCCATACTATCAAATATGTATTCTTGGTGATGAATACCAGTCACATTATCAGGCGCTAAGACTAGCGCCCGACTTCTGCGTCGTTTTTCTCTGCGTCTTTCATATTACGAATGGGGAATTTTTAACCGTAGATACCAGACTATAATCATGGCTGACAGTACGAATTTGTGAAACGCGCACGTAGCAGACACAAAATAAATTTCAGTTCTGACACAGACAGATTAAAGAAATTGACAATATTCAACCCTAAAACGACGCGAACCCTCCCAGGCTTTGTGTAAGTATTCAAATGGACTCACTTCTATCATTATGATGTAAATTACACGTGCAACTTCATTTACCACGAACATGATGAACATGATGAATGTGTGACCATGTTCGCATGCAGCAAAATAATCACTAGGCCTGTGGCAGAGGGCGCAATTTTATGTGCCAAATATTTGTGAACCCTCTCATAAGCCCTGCTGATAGCTGCGTGAGTTATTTTGCACAATGGTAGAAAGGCATTGTGGGAAGGAAAAGGAGCAGACATTGCCCCCTTTTCCTTCCCATAAAATCACAATCTTTGGCAAAGCATTTTTTTTTTGCGTAGGCCTAAATGTTTTCATTGACAGAATTGGACCCGCTTGCCCACTGAATTTGACACTTCCAGTGCAAGATTCGACTGAAAAATCTCCTTGATCCACTTTTATAGATAGCAGGTGAAAGGACAGTCTTATTTGGATCTTGGGTAGCATGTTACCTGTAAATTTGATCAATCAGAGCAATTTGTATTGAAGTTATTGGCCAGTGAAGAGACCGATGTCACCTGTCATGCCTGTGAACCGTGATTTTAAAAATAGTTCAAAAATTATGTCATCGTTGCAGAAACAAGTGGCAAATGCATAGTCTGGCATTGTGGCTAGACTGGGGTTTGGTCCCGACCTGATAATGCCTTTCTACCATTGTGCAAGCTCACCCATGTGATATCACAGCAAAATCTTATTACAGCCTTTGCCTGATACTTTAGCAAGCTTTTCTCGAAACTACATTTTGTAAGTGAAGTTTTCAGTGTCCTGAGGTTGGAAAAGTAACAGTTCATTGTCTTTAAGTTTGGAACTCATGTCAAACTATAACAGAAACGGCAATAGTGACGCCCGCATGGAGATTTGTATTGTTACGTCATAGATATAAGCAACTTTGCCAACCAGTGGTAGTCATGTGCATGTGCCTGCCTTCTTTGCATACTTCATGGGAAAGGTCCATTGCTTTTTCCAGTACCCAGTGAGGCAAAGTTAAGGACCTGGCGACTATACTGTCACGGACGTTACTCTTTATGTACCCCACATGAAATAACTTGGCCAATCCTGCCCAGGCCAACTTGCCATACATACTTAGCATGACTGATGTTCGAGAACATGTGTGACGTGCTGATGACATATCCTCATGATCATTGGCATTGTAATTGCCACAGCACAGTTCAGGGTTCAGCACACGTGTGAGTCCAGTCTACATTCGAGCGTAAAAGTCTTGAAGGTGCAGTTTTACCATTTTCAGTATATAATTCCCAGAAGATTTAAAATGAGGGTTAAGCAAAACAAGTGCATTTGGAAATAGGTAATCATATTATTAATGAGTCATGCATGTGAAGCACTGTACACACCAATGACCCCCCCATTCTATCCCATGGTTCCCACCAATTGTTTTCCTTTGCAGGCACCTTAAATTTAAAATCCATTTCCCCATTTACATCCTGAGTAACATTTCACTCCAGGAAAACACTCTAACACGTCATCACCAATAGGGCTTTTAATATAAATCACTTTTTCAGCAGTCAGTCATGACCTGAAGAGTCTTAGGCCTGGTCTGATTGTTGCATGGTCTTTACCAAAAGAAAAGTTGCCCAAAACACCCAATTTCAGCCCTTCAGCTGCCTCCAAACCACTGGACAGGATGTCAAATATACTAGCCTAAAGGCAGGTTCATACATACTTGTGCATGTATGAACCGGCCTTTAGGCCGGTACTACGGGTTGTACAAAATGTACATGTACTACAGGCGAATGCGAAAAGTTTGAGGTCACGAAACATTTGCAGCAAAATTGAAATGTGTTCACCTTTTATGATTTCACAACGCAAATATTTGTTGTCACGTCACAAATTAGCATTCGTGTATGCTTTCGCATGAAGTATGAGCTGGCTTTAAGATATACAGGTACGTGCTGCAAGATGTGATTTGCAGGTCCATGTGCAGTTAATTGTGTCCCTTTTGTATACCTGCCAAAGTTGTCCATTTAAATGTGCCAGCAGCTCTTCAAACACGACATAACAAACAGCCCCCTCTCAAAAGTAGAAAATCTCTTTTGTCTACAAAATCACAAGTCGAAAAAAGTACTCACCTGAATACTTAGCTGAAGGACAAGGACATCCAGCATTAAACACAAGGCGGTTAATTAGATTTAGGTTCATATGTTATTAGTCATGTTAAAACAGACATGAAATTCTTGTCCTTGTGCAAATTACAGTAAAAACAGCAATCGATACATTTAACCATGACAATGTAAAAAAAGTGTCTTTTGGCTCATGTTGAGCAGTGAATGCCTAAACCCTAACCCTTTTCAATCCTCCAAAATCCTTCGGGCGGTTTTGGAGGATTTGGGAGGATTGAGGGTGAATGGCAAAAGTGCATGGCTGATTATGAAGGATGCCATGCGTGAAGGTCGTGGATTAGACCTTGTATTGTTTTTGCTTAGTCAAGCACAAATTCAGCCCAATATTTCCTTTGAATCAACCGCACTGCTCAAGAATGCCCTTTGCACTGCCTCAACATAATGCCAGGAATTGCTGGAGGATTTTGAAGGATTGAGGCAGCAGGCAGACCTCGAAAAAACATTTCAAGAAATTTTGGAGGATTGAGGCTGAATGCAATTTTTTCATGTTGAAAATCGGAGGATTTTGGAGGACTTTGGAGGATTGAGGATGGTTCCTAGTAAAAAGGCCTAGGGGGTTAGGGTTAATGAATGACAACACTGTTTTTTCCATCACAATTTGCAGGACAAACCATTTGACACAATGGAAGGCGGTGGGGGCACCGCCGTGGCCTCGCCACAGTCCAGCCAGGGCTTCTTCCACCGGCCCCGGCTACCGTACCGGGAGAAGAACCAGTTCTACAAGCACCACCACTATTACAACCGCATGCTAGGTGAGCAGGGTCCCAACAACGCCACCAACTTTGACGGGAAGCGCATGCGGAAGAGTATCACCCGGAAGACGGTGGACTACAACTCGTCGGTCATCAAGCTGCTGGAGGTAAAATTGAAAGACTCAGACTGGGAGGAACTTGCAGGAGAAACCTCAGTACAACGTCCCACATTTTTTTTTTCACTTAACCCTTCTTTTGCTGTAACGTCAAAAACAGTCAAAAATTCTTTCCACTTGATTTCCCCCAGTACACAGTCGTATGGGAAATTTGACTGGTTTTGACTGATAGGACCACTGTGATTGCGTCTTTGCATAGGAGGGTTAATAATCTTAGTACATGTACTGTCATTCTCTGCTGTCGGTCTCTCTGTCTTGCAGCCATCCAACTTTTCCTTGGATCAGCTGATTTTCTTGTTTTTTACTTCACACTCATGCCATTGAATATCACAAACACTGTACGAAGTTTTGTAAAGATTGGAATATCCCAGTTTTATGTCAAAGTTCAAGTTGCATGCCTAGCCTTGATTTCCTTGCACTAGAGTTGTGTTTGAAGTGCTATCGTCAAGAGGAAAAAGTAGCTTTTTCTCCACGATCAACAAGTAACAAGGAACTAGGAAGTGCAGCTGATGACTGACTATTCCACTGAATCAAAGTGTGGCTTGAAAGTAAACGTTCTGATGCACCAATAGTCCTGTGCAATTGCTTGCTAAACCCCCAATTTTTCATTACAGCTTATGAGGAAACTTGAAACCTGTTTTGTGGAGTGTGATATTGAACGTTCTTGGCTTTTTTTGTTGGTTTTTTTGGCTTTCAGTCTCGTGTTTGGCAAAGGGACTCTCGGGATGTGCGTTGGATACAGCCCGACCCGACGTACTCACACGAGGTGAGCCGAAATAAGTTTGAAAATTCATTCTCGAGTGTGAACCAAGGATTGTATGGTTCTGTGGGTAGTGACCAACACTCTCGACTTCTTTGAACACACCATTTCCTCTGTAGACCTATGTTGAGACACTTGGTTGAAGTCGGAACCATCACAGAATTTCGTTGAAAATGAGGACAATGTGGAAGTCTACATTATATGTTAAACAGAACTATTTTTTGGTGGGGGGGGTTTCTAAAAATATATTTTGATACATGTAAAATGGAACGTAATCAGTTTTCATAATGTCTACTTCATTTTGTTTTAAACATGCACATCTTACCGATACCTGAAGCGATCCCTGACCAAATGCTCTTGAGTATATTATAACTGGGGCATCAACCTCACTAGTACACGTAACAAGACAGTAGTACAGGGCTTATTGCATTTCGAACCAGAAACAGCTAAGTTCATGTCAACTGTTGACCGTGACTCTAACTGCAGCCAAGGAGGTATGGGAGCCATTGAAACGGAGCACCAACCTAAAGTGGAGCGCCCCCGCACATACAAAGTCCACATTTCCCCGCATTGCACACTGTACTCCTGGACGGGCACGGCCAAGCCGTCCATCATGAGTTATGCATCGCACAAAAGAAAACTAAAGAAATTTAAAACAGAGTATTCAGTTTCAACAAAACAGAGTGATTGAAGAATATTTGGAAACTTAGGACTTTACTTGTACATTTGATGCGTACATTTGTAGTGAACCCCAAGTATTAAACACTGTTTTCTCACGCCTTCCCTTAGCTATCATTACCAGAGACATATTTGCACAATCCCATCAATGCGGTCACCACTCGATTTGTCCGAACCTCCACTAACAAGATCCGCTGCCCAATCTTCTGCTGTGTCGTAAGTATTGTTTAACACGTGCTTTACTTTTGTCCACAGAGCAAGTACTTGTAGCTTATGTGTACGGTTTGGAAGTGTTAATTCACATACAGAGAGAACAGCAGAGCACATACAATCCCGATTTGTACATGCGTGGTTGACTCACCTGTACTTCTCTCTTGTGGTATTTGCTGGTTTGTTTGCAGATTTCATTTTTTTGATGTTCCGAAAATGAAAGACATAACTCCTGAATTGAGAAGTTTGCAAAAGTTTGGGCTTTTAAGATTGTTTCACCCGCAAGTGATGACATCTGTCCACCGAAATACCTTGTGTGGTTTTGAAAGTAAACGTTCTGATGCAGGGTGAGCTATCATCTTATCGTGAACCAAAGAGCACAGTTCTCCGTGTGGAAGCTTGTCAACAGTTTTTCCTTTTAACAAAACATTCTCTGGCTCTTGTCCTTTTGTCACAATCTGTAGTGGACCCCTGAGGGTCGTAGGCTGGTGACAGGGGCATCCAGTGGAGAATTCACCCTCTGGAACGGACTGACCTTCAACTTTGAAACAATCCTTCAGGTGAGAACAAATCACAGTAGGTAATTGGGGTCCCCCCCCCACCGATGCCTGGGACTGGACAGAAAAACTATAGATATGATTGCTCTCTTCCTAATAGCTGCACTTCAAAAACAGGGGCCTGGAATCAGTAAAGATGTAAACGATTGGGCTATATGTACTTTACTAGAGTGCTAACTCGCTGTGCAAAGTGGAGCCTGCTGGGTGCATCCATGTTTATTGACAAATCTATGGAAACCTTAAAATTTTGTATGGCATTTGTATGGTTGTTAGCACATGTATCTCTGTCTGTATATTAAATGGCACATTAACAGATGCAAAACATCAAGAAACTAAAGGCACAATTAGTAAATGAGTATTTTGCTTTGCTTCATGAAAGCAGCACAGACTTGACGTGCATTTCCACTGTGGATGAATTTTCCTGAAGCTGTTTAATGTGGTATGCTTATGACAAAGACGTGCTGTATGCTATTTGCATTTTGCATGTAATCTGCATAGAGGCAGAATCTGTCTCAACTTATTTCATCATGTACTACAAATATGCACATGCATAAAAAATGGACAAGGACAGAGTCCAATTTTATTGGCATTTGGAATAATGACAAGTGAGCACTCTAGAAATTAATCAAGCTCCATGATATTAGCTTGCTTACCTTGGTAATTTACCTGGGTTCCGCTCACCAGTAAATGGTTAAAAAAGTAGGGAAAAGAAAACCTTCTTTCCCCAATTATAACCTTTATACTAGACGTGACCAGACCATGGCTACTCAGCTCTTATGAGAAACCTTCACATTTGCAAGCAATATTGTGCTATTGAACCTTGCATCTAATTCCTTTCTTTAAAAAATATCCTTAAAAAAATCCTCCCAAATACTCACAGCACAGGAAACCTAGAGAAATCTTCTTCGTTCTTGATTGCTCAAATGTCATAAACCTTAGCAAAGTTAAAGTGGCCATTCTCTGTCTTCCTTGACCATCACCCTAAATTCTGGTGATTTTGAATGGACTGGGAGGTTAGGATTAAGCATTAGGTACATACAACATGTGTTGTAAACAGGTGAGGGCCATTCTGAAATGGATTTCCAAATCAACGGCCATGGCTGTTGTTTGTACGCTCACATATACACAACCACAATACAAAGAACGTGAATATGCACTGCTGTCTTCCCCCTACCCCCCCAGGCCCACGACTACCCCGTGCGGGCCATGACCTGGAGCCACAACGACCTCTGGCTGCTGACAGGTGACCACCTGGGCTACATCAAGTACTGGCAGTCCAACATGAACAACGTCAAGATGTACCAGGCTCACAAGGACCAGCCCATCCGAGGCGCAAGGTACGCTGTTGTCACGGCAACATCCAATCAGCACATCCCGTCCTCTGCGGACTGGAAACTGAAATATCCCTATACAGCAGAGAACCTTGGCCCTCTATTGACTAAAAGTTATATGGTGTTCGTAAATGTATGTGTTGAACTGCACTTTGTATTGGCTGAACTAAATAAATTATACAAGTCTGAAAAAAAGTTCAGTAGCAATTCCCATTTTGCCATTGAGATACTTGTACATGTACATGTGCATGTATGTGGATGCAAGTGGAATACGTAAAATACTTTATATTTTGATGGTTTGAATGTCTTAATGTGAAGTATTTCTTGTCCAGCTGGTTACAACAGACTTGGAAAAAGATGGTGAAATGTGGCAGTTACATGTAAATTGAACAAATTAAGTTGAATAATCTCTCCTCAAAATGGCCACAGTAATCTTTGTAGTGTTCACGTTTAGCAAAACGAAGTAATGCTTGACTTTATTAACTATTTATTATGAGTTTAGTTTTTCAATGAATGATCACCAGTGAGTGTTGTTATGACATTCAAGTGTTTTTTATAAGAAGCAGTATAATTTTAAATTTGAAAATACATGCATATACAGATGTGCGTTTTTGACATGCAGAGTTAAAAATAAAGATACAGATTTAGAATAAAAGAATGGAACAATTAATAATTTATTCCATGAAATGCACTTTGATCATATTTAAATGAAATAAAAGTAAGAAAAGAAGAAACCATTTTGCACCTCAAAACATACCCCTTACACCAGTTGTAAAAGAAATTTACAGTGAACAAAAATATTCGTCTTTGTACCACAACATTGTTACGGTCTGATAATTCTATGTTGACTCATAACTCCACCCTTCGCCATTTCCCTAAGGCTTAGGACCCTCATTCGCATCTCATGACCCATGTAACCTTTTGACCCTAAGGGGTGAATATCTATATCCTGGCAGACACAGTTCTGTCAAGCGTTAAATGGAATTGGCAGTTTAGTTGTGGGAGGAACACTTTGCTGTTATGCTGTCGCCACTTGATTTGTCCATTCCACACAACAGCTTCTCACCGACTGACTCCAAAATCACAACATGCGCCGATGACGGGACAGTCAGGATCTTTGATTTTGTACGATGCTATGAAGAGCGCGTGCTTAGAGGTTAGTATTTTTGGGTTTTTCATCTTTACAGTACATCAAGTCTTCCTGAAGATGAATTTTTTTTCTCAATAACTAATGTATAATTGTTATTGCTCAGTGCATGTCATGTTTAAATCCTGCAAGCAGTTAACTCTAAAATTCCATGTATCTGAAATGGATTTCCTAAGCCTGTATATCCCGTCAGATAGGTTGAAACCATCAGATAGTTTTCAGGACTGTGGAAGGACCAGTGAAGCTCCGGATCTGTCAAATTCTTGTGGGGAATGACAATCGTTGAAAGTTAACATGCAAAATGGCATCATTGCCTGGGTTTAACCCCAAAATGGTGGTTGGGGCATTGAATTTCCACCCCCACGACATTTCTTCTATATCCTTTGTGGTGCTTTTTTGTCATGCTCCAAGCCCTCAGTAATGTTTTTTCAGTAGCGTGTTGTCATTTTGACATCTTTTTTATGAAAATCAGACATACTTTTCTTCAAAGCACCTACTTGCCCAAGACAAGGTCAGCCAATAATATATTCTCTTGTTGTAAAAAGTTTTAAAAAGATTGAGCATTGGACAGCCGAGTTCTTTGGGAATCAGACACCCCCAACCCCCACACCCCATCATCCCCAGCTTTATAGATGGTCTGAAAAAGCTATGCTCTATTAAGGTTGAGTTAAGGTTGACTTGTTCACCGCTCAAATCAAACATCCTGTGGATGTCATCAACAGGTCATGGGGCAGAGGTCAAGTGCGTGGACTGGCACCCACAGAAGGGCCTGGTTGTGTCAGGCAGCAAGGACAGCCAGCAGCCCATCAAGCTGTGGGACCCCCGCTCCAGCAACCCATTGGCCACACTCCACGCTCACAAGAGCACCGTCATGGCCGTCCGTTTCAACCAGAACGGCAACTGGCTCCTGACAGCCTCCCGCGACCATGTCTGCAAGCTCTTCGACATCCGCACCATGAAGGAGATGTACACATTCCGGGGCCACAAGAAAGAGGCCACAGGTAGGTCGAAGGTGTCATGATACATCTTTACAAACCCTCTTAATATGCACATTCAGGGGCCACAGGGGAGAGTGGTACTTTGGAGGCTTAGTAGTAGCCACAAGACGGTCCGAGCTCAAATTGCTTCCATAATGCCAAAGTCAGATGTCACAAAAATATAAGAAGGCATGTATATTCAGGTAAATTAGAATAGACTGATGCTAAGTCACGCGACCATTAGTGGGTATTAAATATCTACAAACACGGTGTCCACCAAAAGCAAAGTGTCCTCATCATTTACCAAAAATAAAGCTGACGGTAGGTACTGTACCCAGACTACCAATATGCTGGGTACTATACCGAAACTTGGCTGTGTTGTTTGTAAACAACGCTCAGAACACGTTGCTGTGGGATTGGTACCCACTGAAGGTCACTTAATTTAGGGGGCCCAATGGGTGTATTAAGTTTAAGTGTGTAAGTACATATACCATCGACTCTCCATTTTTGGTTTTAGTTCTTTGTGCGGTCAGGGTGGAACGGTTGGGTCGCACAGCACCATGGCTGATACTGCATCTAATACATGCCATGTTTTTTGGTTCCCATCCTCAGCCATTTCATGGCATCCAATTCACGAGACCATGTTCGCTAGCGGTGGTTCAGATGGATCTCTCCTCTTCTGGGAAGTCGGGTAAGTTATTTGCATATTTCGTCTAGATTTGGCAAGTGCTTGGAGTCTTTCGGAGATTTTCAGAAGAACTTGAGCAAATGGACTGTGTTCTGGACTGGGTTTCTTTGTGTGTGAAGGTCCTCTGTCATTGGATATCTCGTACAGTATAGTGCTGTTGCCTGCAGGCTGGAACAGGGGTGTAACAAAGGCATTTTGTTGGGGGGTTCCAAAGCCAGTTTGCCAACTTTTAATTTGTTCGCCAAACTCGTGTTGTGTAAAATAGAAATTCGTGGTATGCTACAGTTTATGCTTCAGGGGAAATGCCGGCGGCTAACGCATATTATACATGTGCCAATTTACATTCATATGTCAACTGACGCTCTGTTTGGCGACTGGAATTAATTTTGCACCCCCCACACATCCCATGGTGGCTACGCCCTGGGCTTGGAATGCACATGAAAATAGTTTAACAGTATACTCGCTGCTGACTGAAATTCTAATTGTTTTTTTGAAGTGTACTTTAGAAATGTACCAAAGCAAGGCTCCAGCAAGGACAATTTCTGAATTAGATTCAGCTGTGTTTTAATCCTACTTCAATCCTGTCTCCAGGAATGAGAAGGAAGTGGCTAGCGTAGAGACTGCCCACGACAGCATCGTTTGGAGCCTAGCCTGGCATCCACTGGGTCACATCCTAGCTTCGGCATCCAACGATCATACCACGTGAGTCAAATTCACCACTTCACACTTTCCCACTAAACAAGGAAACTTTAAGAGTTTTTAGGCCTGTTGTCCCACAAGTCCAACCCCACCACTCTTATTTTGTGCTTAAACTCTAACGACGTTTGCTGTGTTTTTGTTTTCTTCTGAAGAAAATTCTGGACCAGGAATCGACCCGGTGACAGAATGCGAGACCGCTACAACTTGAACATGTTGCCCATCGGGACATCTGAAGAAATGTTGGAGTTTGGTACGATTCCATTGTTTCCCAAATCAAGTCTGTTGTCCTCCATCCTGTACATGTACTAGTCTAGCAGAAACGAATTCACAAGCGACTTTCTGCTTGCCACATGCGATGAAAAAAATTGGAACATGTGAAATGAAGTAGTACGTGCTGTCTTGGGTCTTCATGGCTCATCAGATGGGAGTTTGTTTCCAATTTCCCTGGTATGCAGTGACAGAATGTGTATGTTCTCCCTTCGTCAGCCTGGTGATACACACACACCGTTACCCATCGATATACATCCACACCTCCATTTTGTTGGCCCCCTTCATATTACTACAAAACGCTAGAAGGGCTGCGGAGAGCTCAAGTACATTTTTATCTGGGGCCAATTTCATAGAGCTGCTTAGGCACAAAATTTGCTGAAGCATGAGAAAACCTCGCTTGATAAATCAGGTAACCAGCCAAAACTCCATGTGACGTATATTGTTTTGGGATCGTGCTTAGCTGTCTTTTAGTTAGCATGACAATCAGATGCAGTTTGAACTGGTAACCTTTATTTTTTAAGCATGTTTTTTCAGGCTTAAGCAAATTTTGTGCTTAAACAGCTCTGTGAAATTGACCCCTCAGTTTTTTGATTCAGTGTATTGAACATTCTTTCCTTTACAGATGATGATACCTCAGCATTGCCCTCCATCCCAGGCATGGGACTGGAGCACGGTCTGCCAGAACACCTCAAGAAACCCGAAGAGGGGCTCACGGGTGAGTCATTTCCTTTCTTTAAAAAAAAACATGTGATATACCATGTGTGAATGTTGTAGCCGCAGCAGAAAATCTCTTAAGCGTCTGGCCAGCGGCTGCAGCTAGTTTCCATAGAAAAATGTGTGTGTTCACTAAGCCACAGCCAGTCAATCAGTCAGTTGATCTGAACACAGCCTGTGGTCCTGTTTTACAATACCAAAACCACTGAGTCCTCATTATTGGACGGTAATTTGTAAAGTCCGAGCAATCTTGGAAGTTCAGTAACCGTAATATTCTATTGTACTTTTCCCTTCCGGTGAAACGTTGTGCTATCTAGTCTTACCAGTACCCTAATGGCATACGCTTTTACATGCAATGCCCAGTCGGTAGCCTCTAAGAAGGGGTGGCTCAAATACTGTTGGGACTTTTTTTTTGGTCTTGGCATTCCTTAGAATGCACGGATGGTTTCCAATATTATGTGTCAGTTCAGCATATAAGCAGATTTTTTATGATCCCTAGCTCCTCCAAATACTTCAAAATCCACCGGCAGGTTCTGGAAGGTTTTGCTGGATTGAGGAGGGTAGAACTCCAGCCATTGTTATAAAGAGCTTGAAGCACCTTCAGAGTTCAAGTACAAAGAATGTGTTTCCCGTTCAGAGGTTCATGGAGGATTCAGGAAGGTTTCTAGCGAGTGTGTCTTGGAGATGGGTTAATTCAGATATTGTAGTGTTTTGTTGGGTCTTGTATAGCAAGGGTGTAGGGAAACTAGTCATTTTATTGAGACAAAGCATGTAGTCCACCTTGTGGATTCCATTTACTGTAAAATTTTTCAATCTTTTGCACAACAGAGGATGACATCTCTCTGGACACCTCCATCCCTGGCCTGGAGTCTTCAGTGGAAGAGCTTGCCAAGCTCAAGCCTCAGCCCCAGCGCAAGGTGCCCTACGCCAAGCCCATTCCAGCTGACTTCCAGCGACAATGGGACAAGACCAAGGCCCCCGGCATTGCTCCGCAGCAGACAGAGACGTCGCAAGACGAAGATGCCGGGAAGAAGGAGGCTAAAGACAGCGAAGACGATGAAGGTAGGTACCGTCAGTTGAATATACTGATCAAATGGCAGCTAGGTTTTCAACATAGGAAGAAATTTTTGTGCAGACAGTGCTAAATTGTGTTCTTTGGTTGGTTACCTTGACCCTAACAGTCCCAAATCCTCCAATTTCAATACTGTTTCACATACACCCTTGGGGGTTAGGGTTAAAAAAATATTTATAGACAACTAGCTATTTCCTGGATTGTGTATTGCTATATTCACGACATTTCTTGGAAAATATAGGGAACCTTGGAAAGTTCCAGACTTAGCAACCCCAAATCCTACAAAAAATATAGAGGGTTAGCCACAGTTGCCTTATGTCTTGTTTGATGCCCCAGTTTTTGTTCAGTGCAATGGAACTATTGGGTTACTACAAAGTGTTGGTTTATGGATTCAGGAAACTTCCACAATGTTGTGGTAAATTTGTTCATACAAACTCTGAAACTACGTTCCTGTTTTGTGCTTGTCAGAGTAGTGCAGTCTTGTCCAAAATTCATGGCTAAGGACAGGTTTGGTTCTTTGCTTCGTCCACAGCTAAGAAGATGGAAAGGATGGTAAAGAACTCAGGCGTGGCTGTGGCCCAAGCTCATCAGGCCGTCCTAAATGCAATGAAGAATGCCAAGGAGAATGGCGGGCAGCTGCCCCTATCGGGAATGATGATGGGACAGCCTCACCCAGGAGGGCCACCTGTGATGGGTCCCATGCCCGGAATGGGGATGGATGGACACTCGGGGATGGGTGGGCCCGCTGGTAGAGGCAGACCTCCAGGGGGGAGTGGACCTGAAGGGATGAATCCAAATGAGGGTGCATTTAACCCGGGTCCCCGTGGTATGCCGGCTCCGAATCAGCCTGGGACGGGGTCCAAGGGTAAGGCGGGGATCCCAGCCCTCATGGGGATACGCCTGAACGGCCCCAGTTCTAGAGTACCTGGCAATGGTGGGCCACCAGAAGTGGGTGTGATGGATGTACCGCCCCCTAACCTTCCCAAGGAAATGATGGATGCACCTGAGGGTAGGACCTTAGGTCAGGATTTCTTGCCTCATTCCCCACCCCTGCCACTCCCCAGTGACAACACAGACTTTCCTACTGCCTCAGGCAAGGACAGAAACCGACGGGATTTTAGCGACCCAAGAGATGAGGATCTCCGTGGGGACATTGATCTCCGGCAGGGCTTTACTGACGTGGATATGAGGCAACAGTTTCACGACCCACCCCCTCCCAAACGATTTGACGGGCGATTTGACCGTGGTGAGAGTCCCCCAGGTGGTTGGGGCAATAGAATGCCACCTAGGGATGGACTACACCAGGACTTTGATATGAGACAGCAGAGGGGACCCCATGGGGGAGCAAGGATGGGACCCAGGGGGGATGACCCAAGGGATCCGCCTTTTGATGACCTCAGGCACTCAAGATCTGAGGATAGACCAGATCTGGATGCCCTCCGAAGGCGAGAGGGCTCACCAGGAGGGAGGAGACGGGAAGATTTCATGGATGAGGACTTGCGACAGCCTCCTGGGCGGTTCCTGGGAGGAGGCCCCCCTGGATCGAGGTCCTGGAGAGGGGGTGATTCATCTGAGGAAGATCCTTTTCGAGGGTTTGACCCTGGCCAGGATCCTGGGCCATCAAGAGGCAGCTTCCCAGACAGGGGTGGGTTCGGATCACAAGATGAAGATATGCGAGGAGGAACTAGGAGTCGATTTGGCTTGGATGAGCCATTCGACCCAGACTTTCGTCCCAAAGGACTGCTGCCACATCCAGGTGACGATGGGCCACGAAAGCCCCGCTCACTGCCCCTACTCGGTGACCGTGATGACAGGGCGAATTACCCCGACCTTGGGTCCCCACATGACAGCGGCGACATGAAAAGAACTTGGAATGAGGGGCCAGGAGATGGCCGAGACATGGACCAACTGGAACCATTTGGGAACTTTGGAGGTCCGGGTGGCCCAGGCCGCGGACAGGGAAACATGTGGCGTGGAGGGCGGGGGGACATAAGGGGAGGGGGCCCAGGCATGAGAGGCCGGGGAGACCCCAGCATGAGGGGGAGAGGGGATCCGGGGATGAGGGGCAGTCCGTCGGGATTCCGGGGGCCATTTCGTGGTGGAATGGGAAGGGGGGGCATGGGGAGGGGTGGCATGGGTCGAGGCGGCCCAGGCTGGTGAGGGAAGAGTTAGGGTCGTCCCGGGGCATTGGGTCATTCCAAGGTCTTAAACTTTACAAGAGGTTATTGACCATGTCACAAAGTCCACTGAAATTGGAGGCGCAGGTGTCTAATACATGTATTTAAACTGCTTATGCACAGTTTTAACAGTTCGACCACATCCTGCTCTAGAGATCATTTAACTTGAGCCAGTGAGGCCCACTCGTTTCATCAAAGTATTCATCAATATACAGGGGGGCATCAATCCTGTTTAGGGTCAACTTGTCATACAAGCCCAGCTGATATGTGGCGCTTTAATAACTACATGTAAAATGGCAAAAAACTTTGCATAAGCTTTTAAAGTGGCTGTTACTTTGTAAGATAAATCTCCCATCCAACAAGTTAGTTTTGGCCACAAGGCTTATTCATATTTCCCACTGACCATCATTCATGTGCTAAAAGCAATTCTTCCCGTCTCTACCTTCCAAGCACAGCTGTCCTAAGCATGGATCAGTTTCTGTTGGCAGATTGGAAAGTTTTGTATAGTGGCTCTGTTTGATGGGGGGTTTACTTTGAAAGTCAACAAACCGGTTCAGGGATGGCCTTTTTATATTTCTTCTCTACTGAGAACCTCAGGTATGGTTTGAGGGCCATATGAGGGAATTGACGGCACTACTCCAATATCCCTGGGGAGGGGATAAAATGTAATGGGTAATTAAGCATTTTGCTGTGGATTCATGGATAGTGTGAAGCAAGGCGCCAGTGTAAGTTGGTACGTGTAGTCCTCGTACCCTCTGTATCAAGTGGAGGGGAGTTATAGTGCTTTAATCCCTGCCTCCTTTGGCATCACAAGGAATGCACTGAATGTTCATTCCATCGTATATTCCTCTGTTTTTTTGTGGCAAGGGGGCAGGGTTAAGTGAGTCGAACTTTTTCCATTCTTTTGTAAAAAGTTTCCGGGGTTTTTAGTTGAAATTGGCATTCATTGCATCTACCTGGAAAGAATTCTTCATTTGATTTCAAAATCTCCCCTTTCTGTATTTGTAAAGTTAGTATTAAAATGGAAAAAAAGTACAAAGTGTACAAAAAAATGATCAATTTGTAAAAGTGTACAACTTTCTAATCATGGTTATTTTTTGAGTAGCTGTACATGTCGTGTTCTGTATTAAACCGTTACTTGGTTGATATCAACGACAATTAAAAGAAAAAGGTAACTGATGTTCCTTCAAGTCTGCTTTTGCTGTTGATTTTTGTTTCACGTGAATGCTGTAATATGCTGCCTTAGAGCACATTTTGCCTGGCTCTTGAATGTTATGAAAAGTTTACATCAGTCTTCAAAAGCAAGGAAATTCTTAGCACCTGTTTATTCACTTAATCAAAAGTTAGACTCAATAAACATGAATAACTGTGAACACAAATTTTAATACAGCAAAGATATTTACAAAAATGTGACATTTACAAAGTGTGTAACGGTTGCAATATCAACTGTATATCTGCTTAGACTGCTTGTACAACTACATGTATGTACATCAAATCTGTTAGAAATGGCCCATTTAAAACACTGGAGTAACAAGGCATTTTTATTGAAAGCACAGAAGGAAGTCGCAACCACTAAACTAGGCCCCTTGGATATCCTCGCAAGTTTCCAAATGACATTTAAACATCTGAACATTTGTAAAAGAAAAAAAAATTAAAACCTCCACTCAGAAGGTGCCCAGTTTGTTCCCTTACTGTCAGTTCAGTGATATCCGAGCTTGCTGTCTTGTTGTTAGATTTTGTGGTCTATCCAGTTAAGTCCAACTTTCTCCGTACCCTGACCCCCACTACTTACCGGTACATGTAACATGACATGCAAGAATGAGTGCAGTCACCAGGGAAGGTTCACTTTAAAACTTGAGGACAGTCAGAGAGTTATGAATACTAACTTGATTACTGGCAATTCAGCACATGTATGACGTTCTACTCCACCAGCGTGATACATGTAGTATAATGGACAAAGTTATCACTGAAGTACATACATGGTACATGTGGTAAGGACTGATTCACACTTTAGATGTGTCACAGAGCAATTAAGCTCAAAAGGCCACTTTTTTACCCCAAATTTATCTTTTTTCATACATTTTTCTGAAGTAAATCCCCCAGCCTTTACATCCAGAACAACACAAATGCAGTTGGAAGTCAATTAAGAACCACAGAAACAACTGTGGCTCAAACTGTGCACATTTGAAAACCACATAAAAACCACTGCAGAGTCCTTGCTATATGAAGGGGAATGCATACCCTAGACGTCTATAAGGACATGTTGACTTCTCCCAACTGATAAAAGTAACACAGGATTTACACCATTTGAAGCCTCTCTGTATTATCAATCGCTATAGTTACCTTGATAAGTTTGTCAATTCATGCTGTGCTTGTAAACTTAATATTTTCGCAACTCCTTGTGTTCCACCCTTCCCAGATCAAAGGAAGAGCGTGAAAGATTGGATTACTACACTTGCATAACATTGAAAACAGGGCATCCCGGTTGCAAAAGTTTTAGTCCAACGAGGTGCCCCAAAGATGCCAATGTACCCATCTGGCTGGAATCTAGCCCCCTCCAAACAACTGGATTCCTAGACCCCCCAACTCCATGCCAAAGTGTAACATTTGAGTGTTGCAGTCATGTAAGTCCTATCATAAGCCCAGTCGCAAGATCTTTCACAGGACCAGTAACAAGGAGCAGGGCCAATGGAATGCTGCTGCTAAAAGGTCGGCTGAACAACTTGACCTGAGATGAGAGGACCTTGTAATGATGGATTTGTAATGGACTCGAAGGGACTTGTGATGTATGTTCAGCCCCCACACATCCTTTTTACGCCTCAGTGAGGTCGTCGTTGAAGTACAGGTGGATGGCCGGCAGGAACTCGTCGTCGTTCATGCTGAGCTTGTAGAACTCCTCATCCTCGTCTGCGACCCCATTCTGCTCCAGTGTCTTGCCCATGTCCAGGTTGACACCGTTGTACTTCCAGGTGTAGCTGGCTGCATGCTGGTTCCACTTGAGATATCGATCCAGAATCTCTGACATAATCTCTTCCGAGCAAACCTTGACATTGTTAAGTCAAAATTGATATACAACATGAAAGATACAGTACATGAACATCTAGCTACTATGACATGTGTGGCCTCTGGCATCTTTTAGCCTGGAAACACTCAACCTCCAGAAATAAATTACCAAACATAACAACCAAATGACCCTTTAACCACTTGCTAACAGTATTACTTCACTATTAATGAACTGACCCCAGACATAGCGTTACCTTCAGCCCGGAAGTCTTGACTCTTTAAAATGACAAGATATCACAGCAATTTACACCATGGGAAACCAAAACGAATTATTCTAGAGAGTGAATGTGAACAAGAATTATTCCACAGTTTACACCATAAACTTCTTGATTCAATTGATTTACATCGCAGTTCACTAGCCTACATAAAGTCTTGCAAGGTAACAAATGATTTCATATAGCTTTTTAACTGCTTTTACCAATGTCGGGAGGAGCCATGTTTTTTTTTTTTCAACAGAACAACTTAGTTTTAAATGATCAGGGCCAAACTGCTTGAAAATTCAAGTTTTGAGCTGGTTTGTACATAAATTTTGTGTACTGACACAAGATGGTCTACTGAAACAGCAGGAAGACTTTATACAGTATCTGATGTTCTTAGCCGAATGGCCTGGAGATAGGCCTGTCATGAAGACACATATTCACTTGGTAATCAAATGTGTTTTGGGATTCAAATATTTGTAGATGCAATAGCGAAATAGAAAGGAAAATTTCAGTTTCTTTGTAACAAAAGTATCTTCCTAAAGCTTAAAGCTGAACCCAATAAGAAAAAAATGGTTTTGCGTCTACATGTAGTTACCAACTAATCGTAAGTAACCTGTATTGATAATGTGTTATTTTATGCACTAATAAAATCACAGTTCTAGAGGATTTGACCAAAAGTAACCATTCAACTGGACGCATGAATATAAAATCAAATTTCAGGTTGAGATTTGAACAATCAATCATCATTTGATCTGTACATCCCTACCTAGAATTAACCCTTCTCTATCAAAACTCACCTCAATGATGTGTTCTTGTGATGTCAGTGTGTTAATGATCTTGATGAAGCGAGTCTTTGCCGACAGGATTCCAATGCAGAAGCTGTCATTCTTCCACCACGGCCGGCCAAAGTCATTGGTCCAGTCGGTCCGAGGACAAGGCGGGGGGATGTGGACAAAGCGCCCATGGGGAGTGTACGGAAACACACAGCCTGTTACTGGGTCCACATGAGTGCGAATCTGGTTTTCCAAGAAGGAAGAAAAAACATGGAAAAGAAATTAACCACCTATTAGTTCATCTCCACGTTGGTCTAGTTTTCCCATTTCAAACCATATTGCAGACATTTTAATGATAAACACAAAATTTGAGGAATAATGACCTTTAAAAGTGAGATTTCTTACAGTAATAATTTAGCATCATGACACAACTATGAAAGGCTGTTATTTGAAAATTGCAGCTTAATAAAGCAAAAAACATTGAATTTTTAATGTTTCTGTGACACTTTCCATCATACCAATGTTCACAAAATTCCTTTATGACTATTTGAATACAATTACACCAACGCTTTAGTTTGGTTGGTTGGATTTTCAATTTCCCTTGTTCATGTCCTTGTTTGTCTGTTGGTTTTGTTTAGTTGTTTTGTTTTAATGCTTTGTTTTATTTTGCTTTCTTCAAAGTGACATTTTGGACAGTCTTAGGCTTACCTCTTTTGTTTTCTTATCAAACCAGTGTGAAATGTCTTTGCCAGCTGAGGCTATGACTGGTTTCAAGAGTACGTCACCTGTGACATAGAATAGTCATGCACAATAATCTAATCTAAGTTAAATTTAAGAGTCTGCACAGTCTGAACTTGGGTTTACCTTGGAATTTTCAAGTTCAAATTCTAACATGTTAAAGTTATCAAGAACATAGGTGGGAAATTCAGAGATAGGCCTACAGATACTTTAATGAGAGGCCTTTTATCCAGGCATAATCTTCACAATGGGCATTTCTGTATATTTAGGCCTAAGGCCTACTTTAAATTTAACACTAAATAAAACCAATTTTAAAACATAACCGTGTATTTAAATTAAAATTTCACACTAAATTGAAACAAATTTAAAAAATAAACAGGTGAAAGTTACACCAAAACTAACGTTAGCTGGCTAGACATGTTATTTCATTATTAGACATGTTAGTTATGAAATATAGCCCACTCCACGTGTATACATGTAAGGCCATGAGAATGAACATCACAGAATTCCATCCGGAAAATTTTGAAAACCTTTTGTGGCTTTTTTTATTATTCCTTATTAGGACCATACACTGATTACATAGTATGTACACGTCCAAGCAAAGGGAACCAATCTTGAAATGCATAGCAGACTACATGTATCTCTCAGTCCTTGCATCACATCGTGATTACTTTTGTTTTTTCGTCTGATTTAGGCCTCCCAATTTACAAACTTCCAATTATTTTGCGGCCATTGGGGAGAAAATCACGATTTTTCTTTATGAATTTTTTTTGCAATAGGCCTAATGAAAATTTTTGGTGGCTGTTTTACTTTATTTTAGCAGTAGGCCCTAGCATGATTAGGCGGTGGACAGAAATCCGGGATGTTCATTCCAAATGGCCTAAAGTGAGAGTTAAACAACAGCAAGGATAATAATTCGGGAAGGTGAGCTTGCAATCTTTCTTCCGATTGGGAAACGAACCGTTAGTAGGCCTAACCCTCCCCACCATCATGACCATGCCTAAAATGTTCACAACACAGTTGCAGCCACGTACATCATGACCATATTTTGCTATTAACCCTGGCAGTGCTAACCATGCTAACGTTACCCTACACGGCAGCCTCTCACTCACCCGCGTAATCATCACAAAGTGGAGTTAAATCATACACCTTTCCTAAGAATGACACCCAAAGATCCTTTAATGTATTGTGCACTGAAACCTCATTCGGAGTGTAATATTTCGGACGCATTATGGAGGACAAATACAGGAAATCTGAAAAGTGTTCACGACACGGCTTCTGTTGCCAAGGAAGTTGCTACGAATATGGTTCTGTCTAAAACCCAGACACGTGCAAGAGCAGTACGTACTCAGATACCAGAAAAATTAGAACTTCGAGTTCATGAGGGTAGCTGACTATTATGGAGAGCCAATTATAATCCATACTTCATTTCGGAATCTTTGAAAATATTTCCCCAAATCTTAAAAAATACCTGGTTTAGACTGTTTATGTGGCAACTTTAACTCATTCTTTATAATACTGTAATATAATTCCCTTACTTTTTGGGCATTCGATTGACTCTTATTTAATTTCCTGTGTAAATAGTATTAAAGAATAAATATGTTGATTAGGTTTGCCATACAAGTAGCTGCACCTGGTTTATTGCATTGTCGCCCTTCAGTCTTTACTTTTAGTTTTACTGCTTGTTGAATTGAATGTGTTCTTCTTGAGTTTCCCGTCAGAGAAACCACAACCATAGGGGGACTAATGGTACATTTACTTAGTGAAAGATGCCAATCGGTTTGAACGTCAGAATTATATTTTGTTCATGTGAATGTTGAGCGCGATCGGCACGATAGCTACGCGGTCGCCCGCCCGTCATGCCCTTGCTTTTGTGGTTGTCGTGTCATGTTGGTTGTGAAAGATTGAGTTTTACATTTTTAAAAAGAATAACTTCCCCTTTTTCTATATGCCCGATCTGTTTTCCTTCCTCCATGCTCTGCGTGAGGCGCGAGCGGGCCTGCATGAAATCTTCAACAACTGTCATAATTAAACATCGTGCACAACCGACAACCTTGCATTACAAATTTAAGAGAAAGCTACTGGCTGCATGCTTGCGGAATAGGCCTAAGCCTAATCGACATAAGATCGACTAATTTCACCCAACATGAGCAGTGCACACGACATTATATTCAGCTGCTTGAATTTCGAAATCTTTGTAGAATGCAAAATTAGAAATACTTGAAGGCTAGGCATAGGCCGATTCTCGACCTTGTGGGCCCTAACATTACGTTTTGTATGTCAGTATAGGTATTTGCTTGTTACAGCCTGAAGGCTCCTTGCCATTCATACACAGGGTCCCTTCCAGATCTACATCAATCTGTTTGCCACATTTCACTCCAGTGCAATTCCACAACTTATGCATGGAGCCTCTAGGTACATGTAGGCATGGTAGGCCTACTGGTACTAGGCAGACTGAAAACGTGCACACGGAAAGACGGCTTTCTTAGCTGAAGACCTAAAGAGAGCTGAGATAATCTGGAAGTGTTTCCTCCTTCCAAGTACTGTAGATCTTCCCAAAATTTGACTAGTTGCTTTGATGTTAGTCCTGTTATACTTTCAGTTATCCCACAAGTAGTTTTAGGGAGCTTTCCTTACTCAGTAGTTTTGACAGTGCTGTGTAGTTTGATGACATATTAGGGTGATTTCTAATCTCCATGTGCAGCAGACCATGGCCCCAGAGAAGTGCCAAGATGGCCGTGAGAGGCTGCAGGGATGGCTGAACCAAACATTACGCATCAAGATGACTGATGGCCGCACACTGATAGGCCTATTCCTGTGCACTGACAAAGACCAGAATGTGATCCTGGGATCGTGCGAGGAATACCTTACGGCACCTGGTAAATTAAAGTCAAGGATTTTGAACATTGCTGCATTGTTTGTTAAGCAGGAGTGTTTTGGGCACTGCTCTAGCTAGATCAGCAAAGGTTCTCTTGTGACCTGTGCATGTGCCATTTGCACATGTGTAAAGATCATGCAGAGGGATAGAAATCAATGTTGTAATCTTGCTTAGGGACACATCCTCACGTTTGAATGAAACCTTTTGCATTTAGTGCCGAGTGCACCAAAACCATTGCTCAAATTACTGAAATTCATTGAAAAGACCAGAGTCGAGTTCTCATTATGTTGAGTTTAAATAAGCACAGTTGGGAGAATGTGCATATGTGAAATGTGCACATGAAACTGGACGTGAAAACACACACAAAATGTACATGAAAATGAAACTAACAGTGACCTTTCCGTTTCTGTGTCCGCAGTTACCAAGCACTTGACGTATTTCACCGGCATGGATTTTTTGGTTAATTTTGGGGAACACATGCATTGAAGAGCACTCAATAACGTTTTCTCTTGTCAAGTTTGTCTCAATGTCTTGACACTGGTCCTTTATGTTTTCTTCCAACAGACTCTGAACAGAAGGAGGAGCCACGTGTTCTTGGCCTTGCCATGGTGCCAGGCCAGCACATTGTCTCCATTGAAATCGACAAGATGGACCACAGATAAATAATTGAGCGGAAAAAGGTTGGCCTATCCACCCATGCAGCAAGTGCCAGAAGCTTGGCTGCCTATTCTGTAAGATGTGCATCCACCTTGAGGAAAAGCCCCCTCTCATCGGTTGAATAGAGCCATATTGGTTAGGAGTGTTCATTTTGCTGGTAGCGACACGACGGTAACACATGCATTTCACAGTAGTTTGTGAACGAGCGAAGTGCAGTTCTGTGGCTAGGAAAATTGCGCCCTCTCTTGGTCCAGCTTGGGGCTCATTAGTTAATGATCTTTGTGGGTTTTGTACAGTGGATGATAGGACTGACAGAATTCACAGCAATGCCTGACCTGTTTGCCAAGATGTCTGTTGAGCAGGGAGGTTTTGCACGGGCAAAGGGTCATTTTGTGGCACATATCCACCACACCACTGAGTTGCCAAGGGCTCGCTTTCAAACCTAGGCTTGCCATGTTCATGAAGCATCAGCGGCAGACTACAGACAAGCCAGCAGCAGGCACTGACTAAATTAAGGATTCCAAGGAAGTGGCATGCCGAGTTTTTTCCCTCAGTGGATAGCCTTTGTACCTCACATTCATGTTTTGGTGCTGAAAAAGAGTAATATGGCCAGGGAAAATCTTGACAGCAAGTGCTGTCAGGAAAATTGTATACTCTCTACATGTAGTTTGTTTTATAGCACCAGTGAATGAAGTTGCCAAATTCACACGGTCCTTTATTGGTTGCAAGCTTGATCCATGGTGGTGTATGCGGGAAAAATTGGTTTAATCAGTGAACTACATTATGTGCAATTGGTCACACGTAAGTGACGTCAGCCCTAGATGCAGATGTAATCCCATTGCCTTACGCCCATAGAAATATGACAAGTGAACTTCAGCACTTGCAGTTTCGAGTTACATCTTCTTGTTCACCCTGTCCTTGCCAATACAGAACTCCACTGATCCTAAATACTGCCTGATTCAGTCACCACATTCTAAGGAAAAGGGAGCAAATTAATGAACTTCTCATAAAATGCATCAATTTTAGATGCCACTGAACTGGTGTACATAGCCAGCTCTCTTGCAATGCTAATCCTGTTGGCATGGGCGTCACGAGGGGAGGGCAAGAGGGGGCACTTGACCCCTTGAAAAAATGGGGGATTAAAAACAAGTTGAAAAAAATAAATAGAAATACAAAAGAAAATGGGATGAAAGTCACAGATTTGCTTTAAAAATATCACCCCTCCACCCTTTAATTGGTTCATAAGTTATCAATTCCCCACCCAATGGAAAAAATCCCCCCCCCCCGAAAAAATTGTAGCGAGTAGGGTGTGAAAAAGTTAATGGGCGCATTGAGGCTTGTTATATGTATGGATGGCATTAGGCTGTAAATAGTAATTTTTTTTATTCTTGCCATAAGAGTATCCCAAGTTTTTCTGGTGCATTACATGTCAGGGTTAATTTAGTGTCCGTTTACAGCGGCAACTGAAGACACATTCTAAAAGCCAGCCTTTTATGTTTCATACATGTACAGTTGCTTTGTATAATTGAATGAAAGAGCTCGACATGGACACCATACATCACATTCTTTCCTTCATAACTGCTTTATTATTTGGGCTATTACAGTATCACATGTATAAAAATAAATGTATACATGTACTCTGAGCTACACTAAACTAGCAAAATTTGTTCTCTTCATTTTAAATGGTATAAAATACATTTAAAAACTGAGTACTCGTGTTCTATGAATCATTCCCTAACAATGGTGAAGTGCAAAATCACTCTCAGTTGTGAGTGCCCATTTAATCGTGTTTTTTAAATTATTTTATCTCTCTTCAAATTATACAAAAATATGCAGTATTTTAAAGATCCCACAAAATTAAAAAGTAAATGTGGACAAGACAAGACCAAAGAGGAGCAAATAGTTTCTGTCACTGTTAGGTTTAGTCTACCCATACTAAAAACACAAAGCGACTGTTAGGCTTCTATTCACTTCCCATTATGATTTCAGGTTTCCCCAACCACATCTAGAAAATACCACAAGCGCAAAATAAGGGAGCGTTTCATAGTTGTTGAAGGCGGTATTTACTGCGGTACCGCTTTTTTTTAGTGGCACCGCACTAGTTACCCGAAAGGGCTTAATGCTGGTACCGCAAAAAAACAGCGGTACCGCAGTAAATACCGCCTTCTGTAATTATGAAACGTTCCCTAAACTGTTACCTATTTTATCTACGGAATGCACTTTTTAAAGTTCATTGAAACAACACTGAGCTTTGGGTCAGCACAACACACCAGGCTCTATATTGTACATTACCACAACTTATCAGTGCTTTTACCTTAATGTACCTGTGGGAGAAGTTGTCTTATGTGCTTTGTGTAGCAGAAAGACCAACAGGTACAGTACAAAAAAAATGAGAGGCACTTAAGGGTTCTGTCAAACGGTGTGTTCATCTTTCAGCAAAATTTGTAAAAAGTCATTTCAGTTAAAATGGTGTGCAGTTGCAGCACTGTTCAATTGTTGAGGCAGGGTGTTCTTTAATCCCCATTTACAATCAATGAGAATTACATGCACTCCTACAGAGGCTTTGTGTGGTAGTCATGTTGTAAGACAGCTCTTTTCTGCATACCCCGTGGAACAAAAGCACTTGCCTGCAAGATGGCAGCCATGCAAACCCTCTATACTGTCACAAAGATTCACATTTTATGGGAAATATGACACATACCGGTATGTGCCACACATTGCCATTCCACTTGAAGTATATGCACATGCAGAGTGCATGGTCCTACAGGGAAAGTGCTCTGACCTAGACAGGACCATGTCATGTGAAAGAATTTTATTGTGGAAAAACTGTAGTTGTTAGGACATTCCTTGCTCCCCATTTTTAGTTTTGGTTACAAAGCATGATATTTCGAGTGTGGACCTGGAGACAAACAATGTCCACGCAATGCAGGTAATGAGGACGTGCTTTCTCGATGTAGAATGACTCGGCTGCTCGCACGCCCTGGTCAAGGGGTCAGATGTCAAGAGTTCAAGCTACAAGTCATCGTGGATGTGTTTCTCCCATTCTTGCTGGTCCTCCATTAGCCTATTATCCAGATCCTTGCTGTGCAGTCTCTCCTTTTCTCTCTCCCACAACACATCTGTGAGAACACAAATAAAAAAAGTTGTAAACACAAAACGTAGGCAAGTCTTACTCGTGGACATGAGCTATTCATTGTTCAGCAAAGGCCATCTCTGCTCAGCAAAAAATAACCTAGCTAAGTCGCATGATGCATACTGCTGACGTTTGCTATTAAGCAAGCAAATTTATTAACCCCTTTGCGACGGATGATGATAAAAGCCGCCGTAAAAATTGAGATCC